TGTGGTGATCAGAACTTGGATCTGGTTCCCATCCTGCAGACCTGAAAACCTTCAGTAGTGACAGAAAACATGGATGCACAAAGTCTGACGCAGTTCACCCTAAGCAAGGGTCACCAGGCTTAGCTACAACATTTACGTTGTCACTGCAATCCTGGAGGCACACGACACCAAACGTTTCCCAGAGAATACTGGACAGTGAGTTAGAGCAGCACAAAGATGCTGCTGAAAGACAGTGCACGCCGGGGCACATGACCAGGCCAGCAGGGCTGAGATCCCGACTCTCAGGCCACAGTCAGCACAGCTGGAGACCCTGGCAGGCTTTGCATACTGAGGCTGGGCTCACTCTTGAAAGAAGGAAGGAAAAGGGACCAGAAATGGATCTGGTAAGATAATGGTGACTAACAAAGTGAGGCCGAGTGAGAAATCAGGGAAACAACACCTCCACGACAGCATCCAAAAAATGAAACACCTAGGAATCAACCTAACAAAGGATGTGAAAGACCTCTACATTGAAAAGTACGCACTCTGAAAAAGGAGATTGAAAAGCTACTATGATAGAATCAGAATGGTAAGGGCAAAAAACAAAACAAAAACAGTCCTGAGGATCAGTGGAACAGATTAGAAGATGCAGACACAACTCCAAACACACTCAGCCACCTTAGGCTTGACAAAGGGGCCACACATGTTTACCGGAAGAAAGGTAGCCTCTTTAATACATGGTTCTGGAAAAACTGTCTCTCCAAAGACTAAAACTAGACCCACACCCATGCCTATCACCACAATGCACTAAACCAAAATCAAAATGGTCAAAGATCTAAATACTAAAACAGAAACACTAAATCTACTGAAAAAGAAAGTAGGTAAAAATCTTGAAGACAGGAGTAGGCAGAGAGTTCATGAATAAGACAAACTTTAGGAAGTACTTTACAGAATCAGCTGGGATCATACCTTCTTAAAAAGTTTTTTCAGATCAAAAGAAATCACCAACAGAGTAAAAACCCACAGAATGGGAAAAAAATTTAGCCAACTGTCCGTCAGACAAAGCACTTCTACCTAGAACATATAAAGAATTAAAAATGTCAGATCTCACAAAGACCCAATCCAAAAATGGGCATCTGAGATAAATACACACTTCTCAGATGAAGAAATACAAGTGGAAAATAAATATATGAGAAAAATCTTCAACATCACTGGTTATTCAAGAGATGCAAATTAAAACAACACTGAGATTCCATCTCACCCTAGAAAGAATGGCTATCATCAAGAAACCAACCAATAACAAATGCTGGTGGAGCTGAAGGGGAAAAGGAACCCTTCCCCACTGCTGGTGGGACTGTAGACTGGGGCAACCACTGTGGAAACCAGTATGGAGATTCCTCAACCCAGCTATTCCCCTTCTGGATATCTTCCCAGAAGATCTGAAAACATCATGCCACATTGATATATGTACACCCATGTTTATAGCAAAAAAATTTGTAACAGCTAAATCGTGAAAACAATCCAAAAATGCCTATCAACTGAGGAATAGATTAAAAAGGTGTGGTATTTTTATACAATGGAGTATTACTCATTCACAAAGAAGGATCACATTGAGGCTTTTATAGGTAAATGGATGCAAACTGAGACCATACTCATAATGAAATAAATCAGACTCGCATGTGTAAACATCATGTCTATGTAGTGTGAGAAGCGGAATGAGTAAAAAAGATCCAAAATGTGCAATAGATATTGTGGAAGGGGAAGGGAAAGAAACTACTCAAAAGGAAAGAACAACTGACATGAGGGAAAGGAGAAAAAAAAAGAAAGAGATATAGATAATTATACTGCTGATCTCTGTTAGTTCTGCCAAAAGAATGGTTTGTGCTTTGTTTGATCAACTTTGAGAGCCTATATCTTGTAACCTGAGCAACTACTTTGCCGATAACAATATGCAATATATTAATCATTGTTAGTCTCCTATTACTTTGTTTTAAAATTCTGTATGAAGACTGCTGTGTCAGAAGCCAAGAACTTGGAGTCCTTAGGGTTCTGGGTAAGGACTTCTGAGGTCCTTAGTGCTTATGAGTACAGAATGATGCCCAGGGCCAGGCAGCTCTCAGGCCTGCTGCACCCCAGGTTTCAGCCCCAGCACCACAAAGAGAAAAAGGCTCTAGTCACTGTTTCCATGAATCCAAGGCACAGCACGTCCTGCTGAGCTGACCACACAAAATGAAACTTAGCATGAAGCTGTACTCAACTACTGCACCCCTCATCCAAGGACCCCGACTCGGGGATGCTGAGGTCTCACATTTCGCCGAGAAGAGAAACTGCTAAACACTGGGGAGCCATGAAAACTAACTGCACAGGACACTTGCGACCCAGTGAAACCCACTCTGAGTTCAGGGTGAGTCAGCTCGTGGCTTAGTGGTCAGGGCGGAAGCACAGACTGAAAACTGTGGGTAGCTACCCAAGCTTACCTGGGAAGGCCCCTTCTGAGGGTGAGAGGGCACATTCTTTGCTGCTGTCCAGTATCCGAGCCACACTGCCCACACACCCAGCCCACCAAGGTGTGGGGCTGCACCTGAACCACGGCCGCACCCGCTTTTGTGTATTTTTAAAATTTTGAGACAGAGTCTCGCTAAGTATCTCAGGCTGGGCTCAAATTTGCGATCCTCCTTCCCCATCCTCCCCCAGTGTCACTGTGCTACTGACACTCAGTGAGGAGAAATCACTGCTCTTTCGAAACATGGGAGTTCTCCTGCTTGGCATGTGGCCTGCTTTAACTGCCTGTGTCAGTGTTTTAGGTTGGAAACAATGGTTGCCAAATTTTACTCAAATCTAAATATGCAGTTATTGACCACCTGTGACCTCTGCTGGCCCACACATCAAAGGCACTGTAGACCCGTTGGGCAGGAGGTACAGCTTCAAATCAGGCAGGAGACCCATAGCACCTCCTTTGCATTTGGTTAAATGGGTACAGAGGGCAGGCACGGTGGTCCACGCCTGTCATCCCAGCCCTCTGGAGGCTGAGGCAGGAGGATCACTGTGAGTTCAAGACCAGCCTGGGCTACACAGTGAGACTCTGTCTCAATAAGGTCACAAACTGTGTGCTGGGAAAGTGCGACCCACAAATGACTCTCAGCTTTGTGGTCTCCATCTGTGGCAACTCCCGGCAGGTTCACCCCCACCCCATGCACTCAGGTCCGCTGCAGTCTCCGGACCCTCTCCCAGCCAGGCCCTGTATGCCAGTGCCCCAGTGCCCAGTCCTCAGTGAGGGCCTCAACACTCAACGCACACAGTATCTACAGTAAAGGAGCCCTGCACAATGTGGGCTCCGAGCATTATGCAAGAATCACATGCACTCAATCGGGGATGGCACCAAAACATCCTCACTGCAGAGGGCACAGACACAGACAGAGCCCAGCCAGGCTGTTCCCCAGGGGGCTCCTCCCCAGGGGGCTCCAAGCTTGTGCTGGTCTCGTCAGGGAGAACACAGACACTGGCCAGAATTTTCTAGAATGTTGCTTCCTACAGTTCGGTGGCTTCAAGGCTCCTGGCCCTCAGCACCTTGAGGCAGGAGAGGACATGAGGCTGATGGCCCGTCACTCACAGGGCACAAGGCAGACGCCGGAGGGGCGCAGAGAGTGGCAGTTTGCAGGTCACGGCCCATCTCAGTAGGAGAAGAAACGAGGCTCTGTTCCCCCAAAGGCCAGGTTTACTGTGTTTGACTGAAGTCTGAGAAGGAGCGAGGTGCTCAGGATTAAGCAAGGGGTGCGCGGTACCCAGCTCTCCACGGGTCACATCTCAGACCCCAGGGAACTAGAAGGAGCGCAGGCCCAACGCTGGGGCCCAGCTGGGCAGAGGTCTCAGGGATGCATGGAAGAGCGGGGCTCGGCACCCCAGCGGCCCGCCAACTGGCACCCTGAAAACCTGGGGCCTGGAGCCTGCACCAGGGAGAGAACAGACAGGGCACCCTCCCCAACCCTGGGTCCACAGCAACAGTGGAGCCGCCCTCTCGGAGCCTGAGCGCCACCCAGCTCCTCTGAGGGCCTGGGTCCCAGCATGCACCCCCGGGACCCAGGCCCTGCATGTTCTGGGCCCAGTGACACCACTTTGCGGTCGGGCACTCCGCACCTGTGTGACCAGAGGCCTCTGCCTCACTGCAGGAATAAAAAGCACGCACGGCTCATTAAGAGTATCGGCAAGGCTTCATGTTATATTTATTTATTTTCCAGCTTGTACAAACTGGATGTAGAAGCATAAACATAGTACATTTCTACCATCTTGAACAAAAATATAACCAATATGTACAATTATTGTATTAAAAATACAAACGGAATACAGACTCCACCAATGTCTTTCTAAAAGACATACAGGTACAGGTAGTATCAAAAGTATGAGGAAATCACCAATTAATTGTACATTCTGCACTTGACATCACTGAGTGAACTGAGATTAGCAGTCCTATGTTCTACAATTACTTAATGTTTAGGGAACATTTGTGCAACTTGCGGTAGAGCTAGATTCCTTTCTAATATGCACATGAGGTCCATAGCCTATATAATAAAACTGGCAAATAATGCATATTCCATGTAAAGTTAGAAATGTATAATTGACAATGTAATATATAAGGAAGTAGACAAATGCCATGAGACAGAGAATTATTAAATAAAGCACTGACATTGTCTGATACAGTGAAAAAACACTGCAATTGGACTTTTAAAATTTGATGCTATTTACGTTTATCTACTGATCAGCATGATCAGCTGAATTCAATGGAAACCCAAGACCAGCAGCTCCAAACATCTGAGTACTCCTCAGACTGGCAGCCTTCACTTTCCGGAATCTCTGCAAAAACGACCCCAAATGGAGAGGGGAGTCCTCTGGAGTCCTTGGTCCTGCAGCAACTGTGAGCAGGCAGTTGCCTCCAGGAGGCGCCCCCGCCAGGCGCTCACCCTCCTGGCCAAGGCAGCATCTCTGAGGCCCAGACACTGGGGCCGGGGGGGGGGGGGGGGGGGGAGCGGCCCCTGGGGACAGGAAGCTCAGCTGGCATCAGTCCCAGGGCCAGTGCTGCACTCACTGCGAATGCTATCCAGTTACAAGCTATTCTTCAAAAAGACAACAAAACAAAAAATTCGGAAGCTCTAAAGTAACTAAAATCAAAGAAATATAACTTAAGGGGCTGCCACCTTGTCTCAGTGGAAGCAGGACACACTCCAGGTCCAAGGCCTGGCCAGAGGATGGCCTGCCGCCGTGGAGGAGGCAGGGGGCAGAGGCTGGACTGGAAGGGCCAGGCCTTCCATCCTCACCTGGCTGCGTCCCGACAGAACATTTGGGTTTTTAGAAGCTCAGGTGGCAACCTACATGAGGTTCAGAAATAATACTGCAATCATCAAAGGGCTATAACCTTGACTCTTGGAACTCATTTTCAAAAGGAGCACTGTAAACAAGAGGACAAGCACTGCGCTCTAAGGGTCTCCAGTCCCTCTCCTGGGGGCTGGAGGTCCCAGGTCTCCGTGGCAGGCTCTGCTTATCATCCTGATGACACCGAGCTCTGGGGCTGAGCTAGGATCCAACAGGGAGGCCTTTCAAAGCCTTCCTTCCAGGCACAGAGAGCGCGCCCAGGGAGCGGCTCCGGTGGGCCCCAGCATGCGGGATCTGGAATGATGCTATGTGGGCAAGGCCCACTACACTGGGAGATAGCTGCTCTGTGCATTTCAAGCAACAAAGTCTGGAAAGTGCTGGTGAGGTCTTCACAGTATTCACATGCAAAGGGGTAGGAGGAGCAGCCAACAGCCCACTGCAGGCAGTGAAGGTCCTCAGTAGCAGGGCAAGCTCTGCTCTGAGGCCCAAGTAGGATGCTGTCCTCTGTGCGCTCCTCTGCGTGGCTCGATGCCCGGGCCTGGGCCTCACAGGGCAGACACCTGCTCATCCTCTGCAGGGCAGCAGGGGAGGAAACAGAGAGGCCAGTGAGTGACCCACAGGCAAAGCTGGCTCCCCACAGCCCTGGGGCTCTTCCAGGCAGCCTTCAGCAATGAAAATGGCGCAAGATCACACACATACGCACGCACGCACACAGGCACGTATGCACGCGTGCATCTTCCAAGAGCTACATCTGATAAAAAATATTTCTGTTTACATGGAAAGTGACTCCTGTTTAAATTCACGGAAGAAAGTTATAAAATGGCTGTGCCGATTTTTAATGACGCAGCCATACACATTAAAAACCACACACAGAGATGTTAGAAAAAGGTTATCGCTGCGCGCCAATCATGAATTCACTCTCACTTGTTATATTTGGCTTTTTCACATAGTGACCATGTAAAGAAGAATGTTAAACTGAAAACTTAAAAAAAAGAAGGCTCTTGTTCTTCAACCTCAATCCAAACTCCGCAGGTAGATTTACACAAAGGCGGTGAAAGAGTTACAGAGAGGCTGGGTGTGCTGGGCCAGCGGCCTGTGATCCCAGCATCAGCAGGCTGGACAAGGAGGATCCCAAGCTCCAGCTCAGCACAGACAACTTGGAGCCCCTCTTAGACATGCATAAATGAAGGCAGACAGTGTGGGAAGTGCTCAGGAAACAGGGTCAGTGTCCCATCCACGGCACCTTTAAAACAGTGCCAGGAAATGTATGCAGCTGTATTCTCTTTCACTGCCAAAGGTCCCAGTGCCTCTAAGTCCCATATAATGTTTCAGCCATCTATTTTACAGCTCAAAGTCCTTCTTTACATTCTTCAACACAGTACAGATGTTTATCCTTATCCTTAACATAGGGCTGTGGAATGCCTTGATTTATTAAGAATCAGAGAAGAGGGGCTGGGGATTTAGCTCAGCGGCATAAGCGCCTGCCTTGCAAGCAGGCAGTCGTGAGTTCGATCCCTGGTACCGATAAAAAGGAAAAAGTCAAAAAAGAATCAGAGAAGAGGTGCAGGTGGGGGAGGGAGCTCAGGGTCTCCCCTGCTCCGGAAGCTTGCCCACCAGGCAGAACCTGCCCAGCAGAGCCCAGCCTGGCCCAGCGCTGCCCCACTGCCACCTCCCACACCTACCATCTTCCTCCTTGCAGAAGCCCTGATCCTGGCAGGGGGCCAGATGGGGATCAGCCTCACTGGGCTTGTGCCACTGTGGTCTGCCGCCCGGTGCCAAGGATGAGACCTCCGCGGGCCGCACCACCATGCATGAGCTCTGCAGCGCCACAGTATACTCTGGGGGCCGGAGTGCTGGATTCGGAGGCACCTCGAAGTCTGTGATCAGGATGCCCAAGTAGCCAGGCGGGGTTGGAGGTGGCTCTGGGTACAGGCCCTCCTTCCACACTGCAAGGAAGCAGAACCCGGTTAGGTGAAGCAGGGGTTCCGCACCAGGCTGCAGCAGTCCAACCCCTGACACTGTTGGGCTGCTCATGCACAGCCAGCTTTGGGCCTCTGAGCATGGCTGCCTTGCAGAAGGGGACCCCTCGAGACCGGAGTGGACACAAACCCTAGTGCACCCAGGCTCATGCCTGCCCGGTGTGGCTCAGCTCCTGCGGGAAAGGCACTGGCGGCCTGGCCGGCCTCCACCTCCACCATGCAGGTCAAAAAGGCTCAGTACTCCCAGGCCCGATGGCTCTCTCCGGAAACAGGACATGCAAACAAATTAGGGAAAGCAGTATCTCCATCCCTAAATGTCACCTGAACAACTAACACTGTAAGGTGTTTATGTTTCTGAAAATCCTTTTAATTAACGTTGATTAAAGTTTTGTGTTGAGCTAACTCAAACGTTAGGAACTAAATCCTTTCTTCACAATAAAAATTGTGCTACTCAGTTTTAACAGCAAGTGCTTGAAAAGGATGAACCTAAGACTGTTCAGCCATCACCTCCTCTGTCACCCGGGAAGGGCATGAAAGGGACGCCTACCGAAGGCTCCGGACAAGGCAGCGCAGCGAGTTCGAGGCCGGCCTGGGTCACACAGAGTCTGAGACCTGAAGCCCAAGCCAGACCAAGCAGTTTCTCCACTAACAGAGGGGCTGCGTCCTGTAATGAGGATTCTTCAATTCTTGCTCCTCGTGGCCCTACACACTCCTCACCGTTCCCCTCCAAAGAGCTCAGGTCACCTTCTCCCCAGAAGGAAGCAGGCATTCTTTCTCTGTCCTTCCCATCCTCCCTTTCACACTAACACCAGCGGGGAGGTGGCCCATGGGAGCAGGTGGGTCCAGCATGCCAAGGGCAGAAACTCCAGACACAATGGGGCCTCCCTGTTGCACACCGGGGTGCCCAGGAAGGGCCACAAAGCCAACCTGAGCAGGCGAAGGCCCTGCTCCAAGCAGAGCTCAAGAGAGTGGTAAAACAGTAGTTCGAAGTTTCAGTGAAAATCAAGCACTTCCCTGGAGAGCCGCTGTATAGCTTGGTTATTTTCGGACTACGAGACACGACCCAAAACACCAGGACTGGGAAATACGCAGTGAGCACAGGCACACAGCCGACTCAGCACTGCTACCACAGCCATGTCCCCCACCCACTGCCACGCTGGGTGCCCTGGGCAGCCTAGGACAGCAGAGCAGCATCTCGAGGGCACATGCGCATGCACACAACCTGGGCTTGGGAGGATGAGGTCTGAGGAGTCCCCCCAGACTTACCGACCAGCCCCTTGGTAGCGCTCGAGGTGGCCACCCTGAGGGCTGGCACAGGGCCAGCCTTGGGCTCCTCTGTGGGCGCGGGCGCCAGGCTGCTGCCATTCTCGGCCTCAAGGGACATGTCCTTGCAGCCAGTGGGAGAGGCCCAGCGGGCCCTGGACTGCGCCTGCTCCAGGCTTTCTTCGATTGGGTTCTGTCTGTCGCCCTTCTGGCCATCCTCGGCAAAAATCAAGTGGTCCAGGTGGCCCCTGTTGGCCCAGAGCCCCATGGGGTCCCCGGGGTAATCGCAGAGCACAGGCCCGAACAGTGGGGTCTCCCAGCTCCTCAGGTGCTGGATGGTCTGGATGTTGTTGTGCGAGTCACTGGAGCATGAGGTCCAGCTCCCATGGCCACTGTTGGCGGCATCCAGGGACGTGCAATAGCCCTGGTCCTGCGAGAGCACCATGGCTGTGGCAAACACGTCCTGGGCCAGGGCCATGGCTGCATAGGACCTGTGGGGAGGGAGGGACAGGAGGAGCTGACTGTGAGCCTCTGCCTCACTCTGTGGTAGGGGACAGGGCAGTCCGCAGGTCCACGAGGGCCAGGAGGTCGGCATGGTTTGTGGAGAAGGAGCCACGAGTACTCAAGGAGGGTCCAGGATGGGGTTGTCCCATGGGGCCCTTGGTGCGGGCACCCACAGGGCCAGGTGGTGAGGGGCAGCAGGGCGAGGAGGCGGGTGCAGGAAGGGCACCCACCCCAGGCTGTACTGGTCTGGCTCTAGCACTGTCTGCTGCTCTGCCCTGACAACGCCCAGGCCGATCTCCACCAGGCTCACGGAGTGCTGCTGCCTCCGCTCCTCCTGCAGGGCCATGGGCACCGAGTCCAAGGAGGAGTTTCTGACCATACCGGACCTAGAGGAGATCTCGCTGGGGCCAGAGTCGGAGAAGTTGTCCACGCTCCAGCTGGGGGCCAGGGTGTAACCTGCAAACACATGGGAGACCTCACATGATGGAAGAAAAGCCAAGCAGAAATGCAGGACGCTCACTGGGAAGGGGACCCCTCATGCCTCAGAGTTCGCACTCCTGTCCTCACAAAGGAGCCCCTTACCTAAGGAGGAGCACCGGACTGCTTAGTGGAGATACAGAAGTCAGGGCTGTGCCAAGCGAGCTCAGCGCCCGCTGTCCCCCACACCCTGTGGCCCAAGGTCACAGCACATGGAGGCTGGGCACAGGGCGTCTGCTTATGCACCAATCAGCGTTAAAAAGTAGAAATCTCATTTGTTTTGTTTTTTTTTTTTTTGAGACAGGGTCTGAGCATTCCAGGCTGGCCTCAAAGTTGCAGCGACCCTCCTGCCCCAGCCTTTTGATAGCTGGCACAGAGTGTAGGGGTGCACCACCACGCCATTAAAATCTGAATATTCCCTTTCCGCACTCATTTTTTTCTTTTCTGCATTACTAAGCATGTAATCATCTTAGTTCAAAATCATTTGATACAATCACAGACCATGTAAGTTTTTAAATGCCACTTACTACAAAATAAATAATATAGAATATGTAAATAAATCTGGAGGACCTAAATTTGCCAATTTAAGTGGCCCCCATTTCACTAACCTAGTAATTCCTGATTTATTTGTTCAAGGTCACATAGGGTCTTGCTAAGATTTAATGTGTTTCCCTATGAAATGTCTATAATCACACTGCAAGTCTTGCCAGATGAAATTTAAATCTGTTCCTCAGAAGTCCATTCCAAAATCAATCTGTCTCTGGGAAAGAGGGTCGCGCACAGCGCCTGCCCCTCAGGCATTACGACCCGGGGACTCCAGTTCTGAAAGCTCCACCTGCCCTGGTCCCATGCCATCCTACAGCTGGTGGTGCTCACTTCCCGGGAAAGAAGAGGAACCAGCGAAGTCCAGCTGCCCAGAGTCAAAGTGCCTCAGCTGAGCGCCACTGCCACTGACCGCAGGACACAGGGACAGCGCAGACGTAGCCCCCACCCAGATCTGGCACTCAGAGGCCACAGTGAAGCCTGGCCATACGTGAGCCGCTCCGGGACTCTACAAGTGACAGTGGGGCACAGCCTTGGCTGCCACCACCCAAGGGGGAGGATCAAGGGCCAGGCCCATGGGTAGGGGAAGGGGACCAAGGCCCAGCCACCCCGACAGACACACACCAGGTGCTCGGCCCTACAGTCTTCCTCCCTGTACTAACGTCAGTCACACAAGAACGAATGTTTACATAGAAAGAATTCTTCCCACATTTAGGATTAATAAAAAGGCAAATGGATGTTTAAAAGGACTGTGTAACTGATAAATCTGACATACTGTAATATTAAAAAGAAATACAAAAATTCTTCCCAATGCTTAAAATGAGGGAAGGCCCCTGACTGTGAAGGCACCCTGAGCAGATTAAAACCTATGAAATCAGCAAAAAATTCTGTAACTGCAGAGGGCAGCGCCTAAGCCCACCACTACAGCCCTACCTTTCTTGGGCGAGCTCTGCGGGGATGTGGGTGAAGACAAGAGCTTGGAGGACGCGCTGGACAGCATGTCCTCCGCCTGCTTTGGGTGGCGCTCCAGACTGCCTTCTTCAGACAGCGAGAGGATCTTCTTTAAAGCTTGCGGAGAGTTTATGCCTACAAAAATAAGCAAATAACTAAAAACTTCTAACAACTAAAGGGCTGTATTGAAACTCAGTGCTACTGTAAGGTTCCACATATTTACAACTGGATATTCCTTGTACCGTCACGATATGAGAACAGGTGGAGGAGGCAGAGATGCCTGTGCTCAGACTTCCGATTCCCAGGGCCAAGAGGTGGCTGTGGATGTTTTAAATTCCAAACGTCTGACACCATAACCATGTGCTTGGCAACAACCAAGATTAAGTGGACAATATGTGAACATCTGAATTCGGGGCTCAGTGGGGTCACTTCAACTCCAGCTTGGGTTGGAAGCAGGTATTTGCTACTACGGGGCAGTTCAGCTCTGGGGAAAGGGGAACACCAGGAGAAAAGCAGAGGGCCCAGAGACACGGAGCGGATGGGGGAGGCAGGATACAGCACCAAGGGTCCTCATCAGTAATGTACTCAGTCCACAGAGGAAGAGGAAACTAGCTGCCTCTTCCACAGAAGCCAGGAGGGCGGCTCCCAGGGTGCATGGGCCTGGCTGGGAAGGGTGCGTGGGTAGACACAAAGTGACCCCTTGATTATTCTCCAGGAGTATGGGAGACACTTTACAAAGCTTCTCATAGTACTATGGGGCGTCCTCAAACTCCCTCAGAGCTGACAAGCAGAGAGATTTCCAGAAAGGAAGAACAGCCCCAAACCATGTCCCCCCTTCCTGCCAGCATGCCATCTCATGTAAGCAGCCTTCTGCACTCTAAATGGCGTCTCTGGGGAAGAAGCGATACAATCAGGCACAGCGGTGTGAAAACTCCAAGTGCACCAAAGCTACAGGCCAGCAGGCAGTCGCCTCAGGCTGGCAGGGCCTCAGCAGACTGTCAGCACTTCACACATGGCGCCCTCCGCACAGAGGGGCAGGGTACCTCGACCACACTCCTCCGAGCCGCCTCAGGGAGGATGGAGGTCAGCCAACAGCGCCCAGCACAGAGACCGAGGGACCTCACCCAAGGCCCAGCGCGTCTAAGCCAGCCTGCTGTACCCTGGTAAAAACATTCCTTATTTCTGTTCAGGTTACTTCCTTCCACAGACAGGCAGAAGAAATAGTGGGCACACTTTATGAAAGCTTGTTCTGTAGTGCATCTATTTGAGAAGGGTAAACCAATGAATGCGCTGTTTTTAAGGAAAAAGATGAGGTATAATTTCATTAACCTGCGAGCTCTGTCCGTATTTCCAGTGCCTGAAACTTGCAGAAGTGGGAGCTCGGTGAGGCAGAGCTGTGCCCATGGCCGGCATGCCTGCGGGCAGGCTCCGAGGCCTGCTACTGACATGGCTGAAGCCAGCTCGGTTCGAGGCACTGACCTGAGAAACACTCAGGCACAGAGCCGGCTCACCACTGCTAGCACAGCCGTGTCCCCCACCCACTTCCACGCTGGGTGCCCTGGGCAGCCTAGGACAGCAGAGCAGCATCTCGAGGCCACATGCACATGCACACAACCTGGGCTTGGGAGGATGAGGTCTGAGGAGTCCCCCCAGACTTACCGACCAGCCCCTTGGTAGCGCTCGAGGTGGCCACCCTGAGGGCTGGCACAGGGCCAGCCTTGGGCTCCTCTGTGGGCGCGGGCGCCAGGCTGCTGCCATTCTCGGCCTCAAGGGACATGTCCTTGGAGCCAGTGGGAGAGGCCCAGCGGGCCCTGGACTGCGCCTGCTCCAGGCTTTCTTCGATTGGGTTCTGTCTGTCGCCCTTCTGGCCATCCTCGGCAAAAATCAAGTGGTCCAGGTGGCCCCTGTTGGCCCAGGGCCCCATGGGGTCCCCGGGGTAATCGCAGAGCACAGGCCCGAACAGTGGGGTCTCCCAGCTCCTCAGGTGCTGGATGGTCTGGATGTTGTTGTGCGAGTCACTGGAGCATGAGGTCCAGCTCCCATGGCCACTGTTGGCGGCATCCAGGGACGTGCAATAGCCCTGGTCCTGCGAGAGCACCATGGCTGTGGCAAACACGTCCTGGGCCAGGGCCATGGCTGCATAGGACCTGTGGGGAGGGAGGGACAGGAGGAGCTGACTGTGAGCCTCTGCCTCACTCTGTGGTAGGGGACAGGGCAGTCCGCAGGTCCACGAGGGCCAGGAGGTCGGCATGGTTTGTGGAGAAGGAGCCACGAGTACTCAAGGAGGGTCCAGGATGGGGTTGTCCCATGGGGCCCTTGGCGCGGGCACCCACAGGGCCAGGTGGTGAGGGGCAGCAGGGCGAGGAGGCGGGTGCAGGAAGGGCACCCACCCCAGGCTGTACTGGTCTGGCTCTAGCACTGTCTGCTGCTCTGCCCTGACAACGCCCAGGCCGATCTCCACCAGGCTCACGGAGTGCTGCTGCCTCCGCTCCTCCTGCAGGGCCATGGGCACCGAGTCCAAGGAGGAGTTTCTGACCATACCGGACCTAGAGGAGATCTCGCTGGGGCCAGAGTCGGAGAAGTTGTCCACGCTCCAGCTGGGGGCCAGGGTGTAACCTGCAAACACATGGGAGACCTCACATGATGGAAGAAAAGCCAAGCAGAAATGCAGGACGCTCACTGGGAAGGGGACCCCTCATGCCTCAGAGTTCGCACTCCTGTCCTCACAAAGGAGCCCCTTACCTAAGGAGGAGCACCGGACTGCTTAGTGGAGATACAGAAGTCAGGGCTGTGCCAAGCGAGCTCAGCGCCCGCTGTCCCCCACACCCTGTGGCCCAAGGTCACAGCACATGGAGGCTGGGCACAGGGCGTCTGCTTATGCACCAATCAGCGTTAAAAAGTAGAAATCTCATTTGTTTTGTTTTTTTTTTTTTTGAGACAGGGTCTGAGCATTCCAGGCTGGCCTCAAAGTTGCAGCGACCCTCCTGCCCCAGCCTTTTGATAGCTGGCACAGAGTGTAGGGGTGCACCACCACGCCATTAAAATCTGAATATTCCCTTTCCGCACTCATTTTTTTCTTTTCTGCATTACTAAGCATGTAATCATCTTAGTTCAAAATCATTTGATACAATCACAGACCATGTAAGTTTTTAAATGCCACTTACTACAAAATAAATAATATAGAATATGTAAATAAATCTGGAGGACCTAAATTTGCCAATTTAAGTGGCCCCCATTTCACTAACCTAGTAATTCCTGATTTATTTGTTCAAGGTCACATAGGGTCTTGCTAAGATTTAATGTGTTTCCCTATGAAATGTCTATAATCACACTGCAAGTCTTGCCAGATGAAATTTAAATCTGTTCCTCAGAAGTCCATTCCAAAATCAATCTGTCTCTGGGAAAGAGGGTCGCGCACAGCGCCTGCCCCTCAGGCATTACGACCCGGGGACTCCAGTTCTGAAAGCTCCACCTGCCCTGGTCCCATGCCATCCTACAGCTGGTGGTGCTCACTTCCCGGGAAAGAAGAGGAACCAGCGAAGTCCAGCTGCCCAGAGTCAAAGTGCCTCAGCTGAGCGCCACTGCCACTGACCGCAGGACACAGGGACAGCGCAGACGTAGCCCCCACCCAGATCTGGCACTCAGAGGCCACAGTGAAGCCTGGCCATACGTGAGCCGCTCCGGGACTCTACAAGTGACAGTGGGGCACAGCCTTGGCTGCCACCACCCAAGGGGGAGGATCAAGGGCCAGGCCCATGGGTAGGGGAAGGGGACCAAGGCCCAGCCACCCCGACAGACACACACCAGTTGCTCGGCCCTACAGTCTTCCTCCCTGTACTAACGTCAGTCACACAAGAACGAATGTTTACATAGAAAGAATTCTTCCCACATTTAGGATTAATAAAAAGGCAAATGGATGTTTAAAAGGACTGTGTAACTGATAAATCTGACATACTGTAATATTAAAAAGAAATACAAAAATTCTTCCCAATGCTTAAAATGAGGGAAGGCCCCTGACTGTGAAGGCACCCTGAGCAGATTAAAACCTATGAAATCAGCAAAAAATTCTGTAACTGCAGAGGGCAGCGCCTAAGCCCACCACTACAGCCCTACCTTTCTTGGGCGAGCTCTGCGGGGATGTGGGTGAAGACAAGAGCTTGGAGGACGCGCTGGACAGCATGTCCTCCGCCTGCTTTGGGTGGCGCTCCAGACTGCCTTCTTCAGACAGCGAGAGGATCTTCTTTAAAGCTTGCGGAGAGTTTATGCCTACAAAAATAAGCAAATAACTAAAAACTTCTAACAACTAAAGGGCTGTATTGAAACTCAGTGCTACTGTAAGGTTCCACATATTTACAACTGGATATTCCTTGTACCGTCACGATATGAGAACAGGTGGAGGAGGCAGAGATGCCTGTGCTCAGACTTCCGATTCCCAGGGCCAAGAGGTGGCTGTGGATGTTTTAAATTCCAAACGTCTGACACCATAACCATGTGCTTGGCAACAACCAAGATTAAGTGGACAATATGTGAACATCTGAATTCGGGGCTCAGTGGGGTCACTTCAACTCCAGCTTGGGTTGGAAGCAGGTATTTGCTACTACGGGGCAGTTCAGCTCTGGGGAAAGGGGAACACCAGGAGAAAAGCAGAGGGCCCAGAGACACGGAGCGGATGGGGGAGGCAGGATACAGCACCAAGGGTCCTCATCAGTAATGTACTCAGTCCACAGAGGAAGAGGAAACTAGCTGCCTCTTCCACAGAAGCCAGGAGGGCGGCTCCCAGGGTGCATGGGCCTGGCTGGGAAGGGTGCGTGGGTAGACACAAAGTGACCCCTTGATTATTCTCCAGGAGTATGGGAGACACTTTACAAAGCTTCTCATAGTACTATGGGGCGTCCTCAAACTCCCTCAGAGCTGACAAGCAGAGAGATTTCCAGAAAGGAAGAACAGCCCCAAACCATGTCCCCCCTTCCTGCCAGCATGCCATCTCATGTAAGCAGCCTTCTGCACTCTAAATGGCGTCTCTGGGGAAGAAGCGATACAATCAGGCACAGCGGTGTGAAAACTCCAAGTGCACCAAAGCTACAGGCCAGCAGGCAGTCGCCTCAGGCTGGCAGGGCCTCAGCAGACTGTCAGCACTTCACACATGGCGCCCTCCGCACAGAGGGGCAGGGTACCTCGACCACACTCCTCCGAGCCGCCTCAGGGAGGATGGAGGTCAGCCAACAGCGCCCAGCACAGAGACCGAGGGACCTCACCCAAGGCCCAGCGCGTCTAAGCCAGCCTGCTGTACCCTGGTAAAAACATTCCTTATTTCTGTTCAGGTTACTTCCTTCCACAGACAGGCAGAAGAAATAGTGGGCACACTTTATGAAAGCTTGTTCTGTGGTGCATCTATTTGAGAAGGGTAAACCAATGAATGCGCTGTTTTTAAGGAAAAAGATGAGGTATAATTTCATTAACCTGCGAGCTCTGTCCGTATTTCCAGTGCCTGAAACTTGCAGAAGTGGGAGCTCGGTGAGGCAGAGCTGTGCCCATGGCCGGCATGCCTGCGGGCAGGCTCCGAGGCCTGCTACTGACATGGCTGAAGCCAGCTCGGTTCGAGGCACTGACCTGAGAAACACTCAGGCACAGAGCCGGCTCACCACTGCTAGCACAGCCGTGTCCCCCACCCACTTCCACGCTGGGTGCCCTGGGCAGCCTAGGACAGCAGAGCAGCATCTCGAGGCCACATGCACATGCACACAACCTGGGCTTGGGAGGATGAGGTCTGAGGAGTCCCCCCAGACTTACCGACCAGCCCCTTGGTAGCGCTCGAGGTGGCCACCCTGAGGGCTGGCACAGGGCCAGCCTTGGGCTCCTCTGTGGGCGCGGGCGCCAGGCTGCTGCCATTCTCGGCCTCAAGGGACATGTCCTTGGAGCCAGTGGGAGAGGCCCAGCGGGCCCTGGACTGCGCCTGCTCCAGGCTTTCTTCGATTGGGTTCTGTCTGTCGCCCTTCTGGCCATCCTCGGCAAAAATCAAGTGGTCCAGGTGGCCCCTGTTGGCCCAGGGCCCCATGGGGTCCCCGGGGTAATCGCAGAGCACAGGCCCGAACAGTGGGGTCTCCCAGCTCCTCAGGTGCTGGATGGTCTGGATGTTGTTGTGCGAGTCACTGGAGCATGAGGTCCAGCTCCCATGGCCACTGTTGGCGGCATCCAGGGACGTGCAATAGCCCTGGTCCTGCGAGAGCACCATGGCTGTGGCAAACACGTCCTGGGCCAGGGCCATGGCTGCATAGGACCTGTGGGGAGGGAGGGACAGGAGGAGCTGACTGTGAGCCTCTGCCTCACTCTGTGGTAGGGGACAGGGCAGTCCGCAGGTCCACGAGGGCCAGGAGGTCGGCATGGTTTGTGGAGAAGGAGCCACGAGTACTCAAGGAGGGTCCAGGATGGGGTTGTCCCATGGGGCCCTTGGCGCGGGCACCCACAGGGCCAGGTGGTGAGGGGCAGCAGGGCGAGGAGGCGGGTGCAGGAAGGGCACCCACCCCAGGCTGTACTGGTCTGGCTCTAGCACTGTCTGCTGCTCTGCCCTGACAACGCCCAGGCCGATCTCCACCAGGCTCACGGAGTGCTGCTGCCTCCGCTCCTCCTGCAGGGCCATGGGCACCGAGTCCAAGGAGGAGTTTCTGACCATACCGGACCTAGAGGAGATCTCGCTGGGGCCAGAGTCGGAGAAGTTGTCCACGCTCCAGCTGGGGGCCAGGGTGTAACCTGCAAACACATGGGAGACCTCACATGATGGAAGAAAAGCCAAGCAGAAATGCAGGACGCTCACTGGGAAGGGGACCCCTCATGCCTCAGAGTTCGCACTCCTGTCCTCACAAAGGAGCCCCTTACCTAAGGAGGAGCACCGGACTGCTTAGTGGAGATACAGAAGTCAGGGCTGTGCCAAGCGAGCTCAGCGCCCGCTGTCCCCCACACCCTGTGGCCCAAGGTCACAGCACATGGAGGCTGGGCACAGGGCGTCTGCTTATGCACCAATCAGCGTTAAAAAGTAGAAATCTCATTTGTTTTGTTTTTTTTTTTTTTGAGACAGGGTCTGAGCATTCCAGGCTGGCCTCAAAGTTGCAGCGACCCTCCTGCCCCAGCCTTTTGATAGCTGGCACAGAGTGTAGGGGTGCACCACCACGCCATTAAAATCTGAATATTCCCTTTCCGCACTCATTTTTTTCTTTTCTGCATTACTAAGCATGTAATCATCTTAGTTCAAAATCATTTGATACAATCACAGACCATGTAAGTTTTTAAATGCCACTTACTACAAAATAAATAATATAGAATATGTAAATAAATCTGGAGGACCTAAATTTGCCAATTTAAGTGGCCCCCATTTCACTAACCTAGTAATTCCTGATTTATTTGTTCAAGGTCACATAGGGTCTTGCTAAGATTTAATGTGTTTCCCTATGAAATGTCTATAATCACACTGCAAGTCTTGCCAGATGAAATTTAAATCTGTTCCTCAGAAGTCCATTCCAAAATCAATCTGTCTCTGGGAAAGAGGGTCGCGCACAGCGCCTGCCCCTCAGGCATTACGACCCGGGGACTCCAGTTCTGAAAGCTCCACCTGCCCTGGTCCCATGCCATCCTACAGCTGGTGGTGCTCACTTCCCGGGAAAGAAGAGGAACCAGCGAAGTCCAGCTGCCCAGAGTCAAAGTGCCTCAGCTGAGCGCCACTGCCACTGACCGCAGGACACAGGGACAGCGCAGACGTAGCCCCCACCCAGATCTGGCACTCAGAGGCCACAGTGAAGCCTGGCCATACGTGAGCCGCTCCGGGACTCTACAAGTGACAGTGGGGCACAGCCTTGGCTGCCACCACCCAAGGGAGAGGATCAAGGGCCAGGCCCATGGGTAGGGGAAGGGGACCAAGGCCCAGCCACCCCGACAGACACACACCAGTTGCTCGGCCCTACAGTCTTCCTCCCTGTACTAACGTCAGTCACACAAGAACGAATGTTTACATAGAAAGAATTCTTCCCACATTTAGGATTAATAAAAAGGCAAATGGATGTTTAAAAGGACTGTGTAACTGATAAATCTGACATACTGTAATATTAAAAAGAAATACAAAAATTCTTCCCAATGCTTAAAATGAGGGAAGGCCCCTGACTGTGAAGGCACCCTGAGCAGATTAAAACCTATGAAATCAGCAAAAAATTCTGTAACTGCAGAGGGCAGCGCCTAAGCCCACCACTACAGCCCTACCTTTCTTGGGCGAGCTCTGGGGGGATGTGGGTGAAGACAAGAGCTTGGAGGACGCGCTGGACAGCATGTCCTCCGCCTGCTTTGGGTGGCGCTCCAGACTGCCTTCTTCAGACAGCGAGAGGATCTTCTTTAAAGCTTGCGGAGAGTTTATGCCTACAAAAATAAGCAAATAACTAAAAACTTCTAACAACTAAAGGGCTGTATTGAAACTCAGTGCTACTGTAAGGTTCCACATATTTACAACTGGATATTCCTTGTACCGTCACGATATGAGAACAGGTGGAGGAGGCAGAGATGCCTGTGCTCAGACTTCCGATTCCCAGGGCCAAGAGGTGGCTGTGGATGTTTTAAATTCCAAACGTCTGACACCATAACCATGTGCTTGGCAACAACCAAGATTAAGTGGACAATATGTGAACATCTGAATTCGGGGCTCAGTGGGGTCACTTCAACTCCAGCTTGGGTTGGAAGCAGGTATTTGCTACTACGGGGCAGTTCAGCTCTGGGGAAAGGGGAACACCAGGAGAAAAGCAGAGGGCCCAGAGACACGGAGCGGATGGGGGAGGCAGGATACAGCACCAAGGGTCCTCATCAGTAATGTACTCAGTCCACAGAGGAAGAGGAAACTAGCTGCCTCTTCCACAGAAGCCAGGAGGGCGGCTCCCAGGGTGCATGGGCCTGGCTGGGAAGGGTGCGTGGGTAGACACAAAGTGACCCCTTGATTATTCTCCAGGAGTATGGGAGACACTTTACAAAGCTTCTCATAGTACTATGGGGCGTCCTCAAACTCCCTCAGAGCTGACAAGCAGAGAGATTTCCAGAAAGGAAGAACAGCCCCAAACCATGTCCCCCCTTCCTGCCAGCATGCCATCTCATGTAAGCAGCCTTCTGCACTCTAAATGGCGTCTCTGGGGAAGAAGCGATACAATCAGGCACAGCGGTGTGAAAACTCCAAGTGCACCAAAGCTACAGGCCAGCAGGCAGTCGCCTCAGGCTGGCAGGGCCTCAGCAGACTGTCAGCACTTCACACATGGCGCCCTCCGCACAGAGGGGCAGGGTACCTCGACCACACTCCTCCGAGCCGCCTCAGGGAGGATGGAGGTCAGCCAACAGCGCCCAGCACAGAGACCGAGGGACCTCACCCAAGGCCCAGCGCGTCTAAGCCAGCCTGCTGTACCCTGGTAAAAACATTCCTTATTTCTGTTCAGGTTACTTCCTTCCACAGACAGGCAGAAGAAATACAGACAGGCAGAAGAAATAGTGGGCACACTTTATGAAAGCTTGTTCTGTAGTGCATCTATTTGAGAAGGGTAAACCAATGAATGCGCTGTTTTTAAGGAAAAAGATGAGGTATAATTTCATTAACCTGCGAGCTCTGTCCGTATTTCCAGTGCCTGAAACTTGCAGAAGTGGGAGCTCGGTGAGGCAGAGCTGTGCCCATGGCCGGCATGCCTGCAGGCAGGCTCCGAGGCCTGCTACTGACATGGCTGAAGCCAGCTCGGTTCGAGGCACTGACCTGAGAAACACTCAGGCACAGAGCCGGCTCACCACTGCTAGCACAGCCGTGTCCCCCACCCACTTCCACGCTGGGTGCCCTGGGCAGCCTAGGACAGCAGAGCAGCATCTCGAGGCCACATGCACATGCACACAACCTGGGCTTGGGAGGATGAGGTCTGAGGAGTCCCCCCAGACTTACCGACCAGCCCCTTGGTAGCGCTCGAGGTGGCCACCCTGAGGGCTGGCACAGGGCCAGCCTTGGGCTCCTCTGTGGGCGCGGGCGCCAGGCTGCTGCCATTCTCGGCCTCAAGGGACATGTCCTTGGAGCCAGTGGGAGAGGCCCAGCGGGCCCTGGACTGCGCCTGCTCCAGGCTTTCTTCGATTGGGTTCTGTCTGTCGCCCTTCTGGCCATCCTCGGCAAAAATCAAGTGGTCCAGGTGGCCCCTGTTGGCCCAGGGCCCCATGGGGTCCCCGGGGTAATCGCAGAGCACAGGCCCGAACAGTGGGGTCTCACAGCTCCTCAGGTGCTGGATGGTCTGGATGTTGTTGTGCGAGTCACTGGAGCATGAGGTCCAGCTCCCATGGCCACTGTTGGCGGCATCCAGGGACGTGCAATAGCCCTGGTCCTGCGAGAGCACCATGGCTGTGGCAAACACGTCCTGGGCCAGGGCCATGGCTGCATAGGACCTGTGGGGAGGGAGGGACAGGAGGAGCTGACTGTGAGCCTCTGCCTCACTCTGTGGTAGGGGACAGGGCAGTCCGCAGGTCCACGAGGGCCAGGAGGTCGGCATGGTTTGTGGAGAAGGAGCCACGAGTACTCAAGGAGGGTCCAGGATGGGGTTGTCCCATGGGGCCCTTGGCGCGGGCACCCACAGGGCCAGGTGGTGAGGGGCAGCAGGGCGAGGAGGCGGGTGCAGGAAGGGCACCCACCCCAGGCTGTACTGGTCTGGCTCTAGCACTGTCTGCTGCTCTGCCCTGACAACGCCCAGGCCGATCTCCACCAGGCTCACGGAGTGCTGCTGCCTCCGCTCCTCCTGCAGGGCCATGGGCACCGAGTCCAAGGAGGAGTTTCTGACCATACCGGACCTAGAGGAGATCTCGCTGGGGCCAGAGTCGGAGAAGTTGTCCACGCTCCAGCTGGGGGCCAGGGTGTAACCTGCAAACACATGGGAGACCTCACATGATGGAAGAAAAGCCAAGCAGAAATGCAGGACGCTCACTGGGAAGGGGACCCCTCATGCCTCAGAGTTCGCACTCCTGTCCTCACAAAGGAGCCCCTTACCTAAGGAGGAGCACCGGACTGCTTAGTGGAGATACAGAAGTCAGGGCTGTGCCAAGCGAGCTCAGCGCCCGCTGTCCCCCACACCCTGTGGCCCAAGGTCACAGCACATGGAGGCTGGGCACAGGGCGTCTGCTTATGCACCAATCAGCGTTAAAAAGTAGAAATCTCATTTGTTTTGTTTTTTTTTTTTGAGACAGGGTCTGAGCATTCCAGGCTGGCCTCAAAGTTGCAGCGACCCTCCTGCCCCAGCCTTTTGATAGCTGGCACAGAGTGTAGGGGTGCACCACCACGCCATTAAAATCTGAATATTCCTTTTCCGCACTCATTTTTTTCTTTTCTGCATTACTAAGCATGTAATCATCTTAGTTCAAAATCATTTGATACAATCACAGACCATGTAAGTTTTTAAATGCCACTTACTACAAAATAAATAATATAGAATATGTAAATAAATCTGGAGGACCTAAATTTGCCAATTTAAGTGGCCCCCATTTCACTAACCTAGTAATTCCTGATTTATTTGTTCAAGGTCACATAGGGTCTTGCTAAGATTTAATGTGTTTCCCTATGAAATGTCTATAATCACACTGCAAGTCTTGCCAGATGAAATTTAAATCTGTTCCTCAGAAGTCCATTCCAAAATCAATCTGTCTCTGGGAAAGAGGGTCGCGCACAGCGCCTGCCCCTCAGGCATTACGACCCGGGGACTCCAGTTCTGAAAGCTCCACCTGCCCTGGTCCCATGCCATCCTACAGCTGGTGGTGCTCACTTCCCGGGAAAGAAGAGGAACCAGCGAAGTCCAGCTGCCCAGAGTCAAAGTGCCTCAGCTGAGCGCCACTGCCACTGACCGCAGGACACAGGGACAGCGCAGACGTAGCCCCCACCCAGATCTGGCACTCAGAGGCCACAGTGAAGCCTGGCCATACGTGAGCCGCTCCGGGACTCTACAAGTGACAGTGGGGCACAGCCTTGGCTGCCACCACCCAAGGGGGAGGATCAAGGGCCAGGCCCATGGGTAGGGGAAGGGGACCAAGGCCCAGCCACCCCGACAGACACACACCAGGTGCTCGGCCCTACAGTCTTCCTCCCTGTACTAACGTCAGTCACACAAGAACGAATGTTTACATAGAAAGAATTCTTCCCACATTTAGGATTAATAAAAAGGCAAATGGATGTTTAAAAGGACTGTGTAACTGATAAATCTGACATACTGTAATATTAAAAAGAAATACAAAAATTCTTCCCAATGCTTAAAATGAGGGAAGGCCCCTGACTGTGAAGGCACCCTGAGCAGATTAAAACCTGTGAAATCAGCAAGAAATTCTATGACTGCAGAGGGCAGCGCCTAAGCCCACCACTGCAGCCCTACCTTTCCTGGGCGAGCTCTGCGGGGATGTGGGTGAAGACAAGAGCTTGGAGGACGCGCTGGACAGCATGTCCTCCGCCTGCTTTGGGTGGCGCTCCAGACTGCCTTCTTCAGACAGCGAGAGGATCTTCTTTAAAGCTTGCGGAGAGTTTATGCCTACAAAAATAAGCAAATAACTAAAAACTTCTAACAACTAAAGGGCTGTATTGAAACTCAGTGCTACTGTAAGGTTCCACATATTTACAACTGGATATTCCTTGTACCGTCACGATATGAGAACAGGTGGAGGAGGCAGAGATGCCTGTGCTCAGACTTCCGATTCCCAGGGCCAAGAGGTGGCTGTGGATGTTTTAAATTCCAAACCTCTGACACCATAACCATGTGCTTGGCAACAACCAAGATTAAGTGGACAATATGTGAACATCTGAATTCGGGGCTCAGTGGGGTCACTTCAACTCCAGCTTGGGTTGGAAGCAGGTATTTGCTACTACGGGGCAGTTCAGCTCTGGGGAAAGGGGAACACCAGGAGAAAAGCAGAGGGCCCAGAGACACGGAGCGGATGGGGGAGGCAGGATACAGCACCAAGGGTCCTCATCAGTAATGTACTCAGTCCACAGAGGAAGAGGAAACTAGCTGCCTCTTCCACAGAAGCCAGGAGGGCGGCTCCCAGGGTGCATGGGCCTGGCTGGGAAGGGTGCGTGGGTAGACACAAAGTGACCCCTTGATTATTCTCCAGGAGTATGGGAGACACTTTACAAAGCTTCTCATAGTACTATGGGGCATCCTCAAACTCCCTCAGAGCTGACAAGCAGAGAGATTTCCAGAAAGGAAGAACAGCCCCAAACCATGTCCCCTTCCTGCCAGCATGCCATCTCATGTAAGCAGCCTTCTGCACTCTAAATGGCGTCTCTGGGGAAGAAGCGATACTATCAGGCAAAGCGGTGTGAAAACTCCAAGTGCACCAAAGCTACAGGCCAGCAGGCAGTCGCCTCAGGCTGGCAGGGCCTCAGCAGAGTGTCAGCACTTCACACATGGCGCCCTCCGCACAGAGGGGCAGGGTACCTCGACCACACTCCTCCGAGCCGCCTCAGGGAGGATGGAGGTCAGCCAACAGCGCCCAGCACAGAGACCGAGGGACCTCACCCAAGGCCCAGCGCCTCTAAGCCAGCCTGCTGTACCCTGGTAAAAACATTCCTTATTTCTGTTCAGGTTACTTCCTTCCACAGACAGGCAGAAGAAATAGTGGGCACACTTTATGAAAGCTTGTTCTGTAGTGCATCTATTTGAGAAGGGTAAACCAATGAATGCGCTGTTTTTAAGGAAAAAGATGAGGTATAATTTCATTAACCTGCGAGCTCTGTCCGTATTTCCAGTGCCTGAAACTTGCAGAAGTGGGAGCTCGGTGAGGCAGAGCTGTGCCCATGGCCGGCATGCCTGCAGGCAGGCTCCGAGGCCTGCTACTGACATGGCTGAAGCCAGCTCGGTTCGAGGCACTGACCTGAGAAACACTCAGGCACAGAGCCGGCTCACCACTGCTAGCACAGCCGTGTCCCCCACCCACTTCCACGCTGGGTGCCCTGGGCAGCCTAGGACAGCAGAGCAGCATCTCGAGGCCACATGCACATGCACACAACCTGGGCTTGGGAGGATGAGGTCTGAGGAGTCCCCCCAGACTTACCGACCAGCCCCTTGGTAGCGCTCGAGGTGGCCACCCTGAGGGCTGGCACAGGGCCAGCCTTGGGCTCCTCTGTGGGCGCGGGCGCCAGGCTGCTGCCATTCTCGGCCTCAAGGGACATGTCCTTGGAGCCAGTGGGAGAGGCCCAGCGGGCCCTGGACTGCGCCTGCTCCAGGCTTTCTTCGATTGGGTTCTGTCTGTCGCCCTTCTGGCCATCCTCGGCAAAAATCAAGTGGTCCAGGTGGCCCCTGTTGGCCCAGGGCCCCATGGGGTCCCCGGGGTAATCGCAGAGCACAGGCCCGAACAGTGGGGTCTCCCAGCTCCTCAGGTGCTGGATGGTCTGGATGTTGTTGTGCGAGTCACTGGAGCATGAGGTCCAGCTCCCATGGCCACTGTTGGCGGCATCCAGGGACGTGCAATAGCCCTGGTCCTGCGAGAGCACCATGGCTGTGGCAAACACGTCCTGGGCCAGGGCCATGGCTGCATAGGACCTGTGGGGAGGGAGGGACAGGAGGAGCTGACTGTGAGCCTCTGCCTCACTCTGTGGTAGGGGACAGGGCAGTCCGCAGGTCCACGAGGGCCAGGAGGTCGGCATGGTTTGTGGAGAAGGAGCCACGAGTACTCAAGGAGGGTCCAGGATGGGGTTGTCCCATGGGGCCCTTGGCGCGGGCACCCACAGGGCCAGGTGGTGAGGGGCAGCAGGGCGAGGAGGCGGGTGCAGGAAGGGCACCCACCCCAGGCTGTACTGGTCTGGCTCTAGCACTGTCTGCTGCTCTGCCCTGACAACGCCCAGGCCGATCTCCACCAGGCTCACGGAGTGCTGCTGCCTCCGCTCCTCCTGCAGGGCCATGGGCACCGAGTCCAAGGAGGAGTTTCTGACCATACCGGACCTAGAGGAGATCTCGCTGGGGCCAGAGTCGGAGAAGTTGTCCACGCTCCAGCTGGGGGCCAGGGTGTAACCTGCAAACACATGGGAGACCTCACATGATGGAAGAAAAGCCAAGCAGAAATGCAGGACGCTCACTGGGAAGGGGACCCCTCATGCCTCAGAGTTCGCACTCCTGTCCTCACAAAGGAGCCCCTTACCTAAGGAGGAGCACCGGACTGCTTAGTGGAGATACAGAAGTCAGGGCTGTGCCAAGCGAGCTCAGCGCCCGCTGTCCCTCACACCCTGTGGCCCAAGGTCACAGCACATGGAGGCTGGGCACAGGGCGTCTGCTTATGCACCAATCAGCGTTAAAAAGTAGAAACCTCATTTGTTTTGTTTTTTTGAGACAGGGTCTGAGCATTCCAGGCTGGCCTCAAAGTTGCAGCGACCCTCCTGCCCCAGCCTTTTGATAGCTGGCACAGAGTGTAGGGGTGCACCACCACGCCATTAAAATCTGAATATTCCTTTTCCGCACTCATTTTTTTCTTTTCTGCATTACTAAGCATGTAATCATCTTAGTTCAAAATCATTTGATACAATCACAGACCATGTAAGTTTTTAAATGCCACTTACTACAAAATAAATAATATAGAATATGTAAATAAATCTGGAGGACCTAAATTTGCCAATTTAAGTGGCCCCCATTTCACTAACCTAGTAATTCCTGATTTATTTGTTCAAGGTCACATAGGGTCTTGCTAAGATTTAATGTGTTTCCCTATGAAATGTCTATAATCACACTGCAAGTCTTGCCAGATGAAATTTAAATCTGTTCCTCAGAAGTCCATTCCAAAATCAATCTGTCTCTGGGAAAGAGGGTCGCGCACAGCGCCTGCCCCTCAGGCATTACGACCCGGGGACTCCAGTTCTGAAAGCTCCACCTGCCCTGGTCCCATGCCATCCTACAGCTGGTGGTGCTCACTTCCCGGGAAAGAAGAGGAACCAGCGAAGTCCAGCTGCCCAGAGTCAAAGTGCCTCAGCTGAGCGCCACTGCCACTGACCGCAGGACACAGGGACAGCGCAGACGTAGCCCCCACCCAGATCTGGCACTCAGAGGCCACAGTGAAGCCTGGCCGTACGTGAGCCGCTCCGGGACTCTACAAGTGACAGTGGGGCACAGCCTTGGCTGCCACCACCCAAGGGGGAGGATCAAGGGCCAGGCCCATGGGTAGGGGAAGGGGACCAAGGCCCAGCCACCCCGACAGACACACACCAGGTGCTCGGCCCTACAGTCTTCCTCCCTGTACTAACGTCAGTCACACAAGAACGAATGTTTACATAGAAAGAATTCTTCCCACATTTAGGATTAATAAAAAGGCAAATGGATGTTTAAAAGGACTGTGTAACTGATAAATCTGACATACTGTAATATTAAAAAGAAATACAAAAATTCTTCCCAATGCTTAAAATGAGGGAAGGCCCCTGACTGTGAAGGCACCCTGAGCAGATTAAAACCTGTGAAATCAGCAAAAAATTCTGTGACTGCAGAGGGCAGCGCCTAAGCCCACCACTACAGCCCTACCTTTCCTGGGCGAGCTCTGCGGGGATGTGGGTGAAGACAAGTGCTTGGAGGACGCGCTGGACAGCATGTCCTCCGCCTGCTTTGGGTGGCGCTCCAGACTGCCTTCTTCAGACAGCGAGAGGATCTTCTTTAAAGCTTGCGGAGAGTTTATGCCTACAAAAATAAGCAAATAACTAAAAACTTCTAACAACTAAAGGGCTGTATTGAAACTCAGTGCTACTGTAAGGTTCCACATATTTACAACGGGATATTCCTTGTACCGTCACGATATGAGAACAGGTGGAGGAGGCAGAGATGCCTGTGCTCAGACTTCCGATTCCCAGGGCCAAGAGGTGGCTGTGGATGTTTTAAATTCCAAACCTCTGACACCATAACCATGTGCTTGGCAACAACCAAGATTAAGTGGACAATATGTGAACATCTGAATTCGGGGCTCAGTGGGGTCACTTCAACTCCAGCTTGGGTTGGAAGCAGGTATTTGCTACTACGGGGCAGTTCAGCTCTGGGGAAAGGGGAACACCAGGAGAAAAGCAGAGGGCCCAGAGACACGGAGCGGATGGGGGAGGCAGGATACAGCACCAAGGGTCCTCATCAGTAATGTACTCAGTCCACAGAGGAAGAGGAAACTAGCTGCCTCTTCCACAGAAGCCAGGATGGCGGCTCCCAGGGTGCATGGGCCTGGCTGGGAAGGGTGCGTGGGTAGACACAAAGTGACCCCTTGATTATTCTCCAGGAGTATGGGAGACACTTTACAAAGCTTCTCATAGTACTATGGGGCATCCTCAAACTCCCTCAGAGCTGACAAGCAGAGAGATTTCCAGAAAGGAAGAACAGCCCCAAACCATGTCCCCTTCCTGCCAGCATGCCATCTCATGTAAGCAGCCTTCTGCACTCTAAATGGCGTCTCTGGGGAAGAAGCGATACTATCAGGCAAAGCGGTGTGAAAACTCCAAGTGCACCAAAGCTACAGGCCAGCAGGCAGTCGCCTCAGGCTGGCAGGGCCTCAGCAGAGTGTCAGCACTTCACACATGGCGCCCTCCGCACAGAGGGGCAGGGTACCTCGACCACACTCCTCCGAGCCGCCTCAGGGAGGATGGAGTTCAGCCAACAGCGCCCAGCACAGAGACCGAGGGACCTCACCCAAGGCCCAGCGCCTCTAAGCCAGCCTGCTGTACCCTGGTAAAAACATTCCTTATTTCTGTTCAGGTTACTTCCTTCCACAGACAGGCAGAAGAAATAGTGGGCACACTTTATGAAAGCTTGTTCTGTAGTGCATCTATTTGAGAAGGGTAAACCAATGAATGCGCTGTTTTTAAGGAAAAAGATGAGGTATAATTTCATTAACCTGCGAGCTCTGTCCGTATTTCCAGTGCCTGAAACTTGCAGAAGTGGGAGCTCGGTGAGGCAGAGCTGTGCCCATGGCCGGCATGCCTGCAGGCAGGCTCCGAGGCCTGCTACTGACATGGCTGAAGCCAGCTCGGTTCGAGGCACTGACCTGAGAAACACTCAGGCACAGAGCCGGCTCACCACTGCTAGCACAGCCGTGTCCCCCACCCACTTCCACGCTGGGTGCCCTGGGCAGCCTAGGACAGCAGAGCAGCATCTCGAGGCCACATGCACATGCACACAACCTGGGCTTGGGAGGATGAGGTCTGAGGAGTCCCCCCAGACTTACCGACCAGCCCCTTGGTAGCGCTCGAGGTGGCCACCCTGAGGGCTGGCACAGGGCCAGCCTTGGGCTCCTCTGTGGGCGCGGGCGCCAGGCTGCTGCCATTCTCGGCCTCAAGGGACATGTCCTTGGAGCCAGTGGGAGAGGCCCAGCGGGCCCTGGACTGCGCCTGCTCCAGGCTTTCTTCGATTGGGTTCTGTCTGTCGCCCTTCTGGCCATCCTCGGCAAAAATCAAGTGGTCCAGGTGGCCCCTGTTGGCCCAGGGCCCCATGGGGTCCCCGGGGTAATCGCAGAGCACAGGCCCGAACAGTGGGGTCTCCCAGCTCCTCAGGTGCTGGATGGTCTGGATGTTGTTGTGCGAGTCACTGGAGCATGAGGTCCAGCTCCCATGGCCACTGTTGGCGGCATCCAGGGACGTGCAATAGCCCTGGTCCTGCGAGAGCACCATGGCTGTGGCAAACACGTCCTGGGCCAGGGCCATGGCTGCATAGGACCTGTGGGGAGGGAGGGACAGGAGGAGCTGACTGTGAGCCTCTGCCTCACTCTGTGGTAGGGGACAGGGCAGTCCGCAGGTCCACGAGGGCCAGGAGGTCGGCATGGTTTGTGGAGAAGGAGCCACGAGTACTCAAGGAGGGTCCAGGATGGGGTTGTCCCATGGGGCCCTTGGCGCGGGCACCCACAGGGCCAGGTGGTGAGGGGCAGCAGGGCGAGGAGGCGGGTGCAGGAAGGGCACCCACCCCAGGCTGTACTGGTCTGGCTCTAGCACTGTCTGCTGCTCTGCCCTGACAACGCCCAGGCCGATCTCCACCAGGCTCACGGAGTGCTGCTGCCTCCGCTCCTCCTGCAGGGCCATGGGCACCGAGTCCAAGGAGGAGTTTCTGACCATACCGGACCTAGAGGAGATCTCGCTGGGGCCAGAGTCGGAGAAGTTGTCCACGCTCCAGCTGGGGGCCAGGGTGTAACCTGCAAACACATGGGAGACCTCACATGATGGAAGAAAAGCCAAGCAGAAATGCAGGACGCTCACTGGGAAGGGGACCCCTCATGCCTCAGAGTTCGCACTCCTGTCCTCACAAAGGAGCCCCTTACCTAAGGAGGAGCACCGGACTGCTTAGTGGAGATGCAGAAGTCAGGGCTGTGCCAAGCGAGCTCAGCGCCCGCTGTCCCTCACACCCTGTGGCCCAAGGTCACAGCACATGGAGGCTGGGCACAGGGCGTCTGCTTATGCACCAATCAGCGTTAAAAAGTAGAAACCTCATTTGTTTTGTTTTTTTTGAGACAGGGTCTGAGCATTCCAGGCTGGCCTCAAAGTTGCAGCGACCCTCCTGCCCCAGCCTTTTGATAGCTGGCACAGAGTGTAGGGGTGCACCACCACGCCATTAAAATCTGAATATTCCTTTTCCGCACTCATTTTTTTCTTTTCTGCATTACTAAGCATGTAATCATCTTAGTTCAAAATCATTTGATACAATCACAGACCATGTAAGTTTTTAAATGCCACTTACTACAAAATAAATAATATAGAATATGTAAATAAATCTGGAGGACCTAAATTTGCCAATTTAAGTGGCCCCCATTTCACTAACCTAGTAATTCCTGATTTATTTGTTCAAGGTCACATAGGGTCTTGCTAAGATTTAATGTGTTTCCCTATGAAATGTCTATAATCACACTGCAAGTCTTGCCAGATGAAATTTAAATCTGTTCCTCAGAAGTCCATTCCAAAATCAATCTGTCTCTGGGAAAGAGGGTCGCGCACAGCGCCTGCCCCTCAGGCATTACGACCCGGGGACTCCAGTTCTGAAAGCTCCACCTGCCCTGGTCCCATGCCATCCTACAGCTGGTGGTGCTCACTTCCCGGGAAAGAAGAGGAACCAGCGAAGTCCAGCTGCCCAGAGTCAAAGTGCCTCAGCTGAGCGCCACTGCCACTGACCGCAGGACACAGGGACAGCGCAGACGTAGCCCCCACCCAGATCTGGCACTCAGAGGCCACAGTGAAGCCTGGCCATACGTGAGCCGCTCCGGGACTCTACAAGTGACAGTGGGGCACAGCCTTGGCTGCCACCACCCAAGGGGGAGGATCAAGGGCCAGGCCCATGGGTAGGGGAAGGGGACCAAGGCCCAGCCACCCCGACAGACACACACCAGGTGCTCGGCCCTACAGTCTTCCTCCCTGTACTAACCTCAGTCACACAAGAACGAATGTTTACATAGAAAGAATTCTTCCCACATTTAGGATTAATAAAAAGGCAAATGGATGTTTAAAAGGACTGTGTAACTGATAAATCTGACATACTGTAATATTAAAAAGAAATACAAAAATTCTTCCCAATGCTTAAAATGAGGGAAGGCCCCTGACTGTGAAGGCACCCTGAGCAGATTAAAACCTGTGAAATCAGCAAGAAATTCTATGACTGCAGAGGGCAGCGCCTAAGCCCACCACTGCAGCCCTACCTTTCCTGGGCGAGCTCTGCGGGGATGTGGGTGAAGACAAGAGCTTGGAGGACGCGCTGGACAGCATGTCCTCCGCCTGCTTTGGGTGGCGCTCCAGACTGCCTTCTTCAGACAGCGAGAGGATCTTCTTTAAAGCTTGCGGAGAGTTTATGCCTACAAAAATAAGCAAATAACTAAAAACTTCTAACAACTAAAGGGCTGTATTGAAACTCAGTGCTACTGTAAGGTTCCACATATTTACAACTGGATATTCCTTGTACCGTCACGATATGAGAACAGGTGGAGGAGGCAGAGATGCCTGTGCTCAGACTTCCGATTCCCAGGGCCAAGAGGTGGCTGTGGATGTTTTAAATTCCAAACCTCTGACACCATAACCATGTGCTTGGCAACAACCAAGATTAAGTGGACAATATGTGAACATCTGAATTCGGGGCTCAGTGGGGTCACTTCAACTCCAGCTTGGGTTGGAAGCAGGTATTTGCTACTACGGGGCAGTTCAGCTCTGGGGAAAGGGGAACACCAGGAGAAAAGCAGAGGGCCCAGAGACACGGAGCGGATGGGGGAGGCAGGATACAGCACCAAGGGTCCTCATCAGTAATGTACTCAGTCCACAGAGGAAGAGGAAACTAGCTGCCTCTTCCACAGAAGCCAGGAGGGCGGCTCCCAGGGTGCATGGGCCTGGCTGGGAAGGGTGCGTGGGTAGACACAAAGTGACCCCTTGATTATTCTCCAGGAGTATGGGAGACACTTTACAAAGCTTCTCATAGTACTATGGGGCGTCCTCAAACTCCCTCAGAGCTGACAAGCAGAGAGATTTCCAGAAAGGAAGAACAGCCCCAAACCATGTCCCCTTCCTGCCAGCATGCCATCTCATGTAAGCAGCCTTCTGCACTCTACATGGCGTCTCTGGAGAAGAAGCGATACTGTCAGGCACAGCGGTGTGAAAACTCCAAGTGCACCAAAGCTACAGGCCAGCAGGCAGTAGCCTCAGGCTGGCAGGGCCTCAGCAGAGTGTCAGCACTTCACACATGGTGCCCTCCGCACAGAGGGGCAGGGTACCTCGACCACACTCCTCCGAGGCGCCTCAGGGAGGATGGAGGTCAGCCAACAGCGCCCAGCACAGAGACCGAGGGACCTCACCCAAGGCCCAGCGCGTCTAAGCCAGCCTGCTGTACCCTGGTAAAAACATTCCTTATTTCTGTTCAGGTTACTTCCTTCCACAGACAGGCAGAAGAAATAGTGGGCACACTTTATGAAAGCTTGTTCTGTGGTGCATCTATTTGAGAAGGGTAAACCAATGAATGCTCTGTTTTTAAGGAAAAAGATGAGGTATAATTTCATTAACCTGCGAGCTCTGTCCGTATTTCCAGTGCCTGAAACTTGCAGAAGTGGGAGCTCGGTGAGGCAGAGCTGTGCCCATGGCCGGCATGCCTGCAGGCAGGCTCCGAGGCCTGCTACTGACATGGCTGAAGCCAGCTCGGTTCGAGGCACTGACCTGAGAAACACTCAGGCCACGTTTCCCCAGCTCACCGACCACACAGTCAACAGCGAGGGTGAGGAGAGGACCCCCGAGTGCTCACACACCGAGGGGGCTTCACTGCTCCACTTCTTCCTCCCCGTTGTGAGGCACAGACCCCGTTTATCTAGAAACAGTCCCTCTCCCTGTGGAAATCTTCCCTTTTATTCGCAGAAAAGAAAACCGAGAGATTCTGGGACGCTGGGCAAGGTGCCTGGGACACCGCTGGCCCCACACAGCCAGGGGCAGGCACTCACCGAAGGGCGGGAGTTCCTTGACAGGCATCTTCCTTGGGGACGGGTAGAGGGACATGGCGGTCACCTGCAGGCCCTGGCCAAGCTTCTGCACTGGCTGTGGCTTTGGCAGGGGCTGCGGCTGAGCCTTCTGCTGGCACTCTGCCCTGGGCGCCACCTGGGAGGTCTCAGACTTGAGGGGCCTTTTGTCACCAGGGTGCTTAGGCACTGAGAACAGAAAATGTAGACATCAGAAGTGTACAGTCAGAATAGGAAAACACACATTTTTTCCTGCTGCCTTATAAAACACAGAAACTTCCAGGAGTGGGGCTGTCGGCCTGTAATCACAGCCCTGGGGAGGCTGAAGCAGGAGGATCACATCGAGGTTGAGGCCAGCCTGAATGACACAGTGAGTTCAAGGCCAGCCTGGACTACAGAGCGCAATATTGTCTCAAGAAACAACAACAGAGACAAATGGAGATAAATGACAAAAACTGGGAGGAAAACGCTCCTTACAGAAAATATGAGAAGTATGCCAAGATAAAGATATTTACCACATTAGTGATCTCTAACAATAACGATATTAAACATCAAATTAAAACTAAGAACAGAAAACGTGGGCAATATTATATGGCTATAGATAAAAAGCAAACCTGGTAAGAGCTACGCAAGAAAAATCATGAGGAATTACTTCTCTTACTGGTCCCCATATCACTCTGACACACCTAAGCTGATTTTTAACTGAATAAATGGTGTTAACTGTATTCTATTAATCGTCAGTCTCCTGTGAAGGGAACTCTCCAGGGAGGCAGACACTGGCAGTTCATAGGCTGCTATTCTGCAGGGCGGGCATGGAATTCCAAGTGCACGGCAGCAAGCCCACGAAACAGAAGAGTTAGATGCTGTCTGCACGGAGTCCTAACAGCCCACAGGCCCATGATGCCTGCGTCCTCCACCTTACACTCTGGAAGGCGGAGAATCTGGACACCAGGCAGCTCGCCTGAGGCCACACAGTCACTTCGCGGACAGTGGGAGCTGAGCGCTGCCCTGCAGCACGCAGTGTCCACTGGCAGTGTCCTGGCTGCTGTCCTCATGGGCTCTTCAGAAACCTCAAATCTTGAGAACCATCACCTTTCAAAGCAGCCCACAGGAGACCAGCAACTGGTGGGTTTTTATTAACTTTCGGTTTCATTTGCAGCACTGGGGACAGAGGCAGGCAGACACTGCACCTCTCCAGGCCAGCCCGATTCTCACTGCTAACACCAGGGCTCACTGTGCACACGTGCGCTGAACACCTGCACTCAGGCAGTCCTGTCTCAGCCTCCCCACGGCAGGCACCTGCCCAGAGGTACACAGTCTGACCAGATTGCACTGGACACTGGGTAGGCTGTGGTGAGACTGAAGGCAGCCCGAGGAGCCCACAGTGTCCTCCTGCACGGGCCCCGCACCTGGGAGAGGCTCAACCGGAGCAGCTCCTGCTCTGCTCCTCTGCCCCTGAGCTGCTGCCTGCAGGAGGCCCAGAGCCACCTGGGGAGGGGTGGGGACTCACGAGTGCTGGTCGCTGGCTCACACTGCAGCGACAGCATCTGCAGGCTCTTCTCGTCCATCTCGAGCTCCAGGTTGGACAGGTACTGCTTCACTTTGCGAGCCATCTGGGTGTCCTTGTAGAGCTTCTTGGCATTGAGGAAGGAACTGCGGCACACCCGCTTCTTGTGCCCGCCTGTCTGGGCAACATCCAGCACCACTGCGTTTGTGCTGCCCTGGCTGAGGGACCTTCGAGGTGGACAGGGAGAAGAGAGGCCACTCACTCCGGCACGGGCTATGACACCTGTGCGGCACTGCTGAGACCAACAGTGTCTACCCTGGGAGTCACCTGCTTCATTCCAACAGCGCTTGTCACCGGGAATTGCGGGTAAAGAGAGATACAGGTAACACACAGTAAACAGACCACTGGCACCCAGTCTACTCCAGCCGGAACTGGCTGTGCATCTATAGCATTCAGGTCCTCTCACAGAGGCAGCAAATGACAATCCCAGAAAAGCTCATGCAGGAAGACACGGCTCCACTCATTCTGATTTATCATGTTAAAGTTACTTCTCTATGAGAAGATGCTTTGCATAGATTTAAGTAAATTAGCTACAAGGTTCACAATTAGTTCCTTATTCCTTGAGTAGAATGAGGTAAGGTTTTAAGTAAAATTGTCAATCTGTTAATACTATAGTTATGCAAAATAAACATCTGTATATGGAAACTACTTAGCACATGGATCATTAAGAATTATTTTGAATAAGGATTAGTTTATATAGAATGAAAATAGTAGTTAGTTGAGCTGTAAAAAAAAATTGGTTTTCACCGCTGGAGACACCTTTTTTTAATTATGCATATTTACTGGTAAATAGCTGCACAGTAATATTTAACCACAAAGTTTTTCCTAACATCCTCCACTATCCCCATCCTAGGCTTTTCTCATTTTCAAGACACATGAATTATTCAAAAATAGAATCTTCCTGGGAGCTCAGAAATGTGCCTGGCCTACAGTTCCCCAGAAGAATCCTCAATATTTTCACAGCTCTGGGGGGCGCGACTTCAGGAGCGCACAGAGGACAGCTGCAGTCAGTCTGAGCTGGAAACCGCCAGAGCATCGAGGCAAGGTACAGAGCGCACGCAGGAGAGGCACAGGGAGGAAGGAGGCGGCAGCTGCGCGCCCCACCACTTACCCCAGACTGCGCCACTTCTTCTTCCTGCAAGTGAGAGCCGAGGAGATGGAAGCGTGAGTGCAGAGAGAGACAGAGAGATCACAGCTCAGAGAGAGAGGCCTGCACTTCGGGGAAGCCATCCCAGCAGCCCACAAACCTTCAACCCACCACCGCCTTCCTACAAGCACTAGTTCTGGCTCAAAAGACAAGTGTCAAGTTCTTGTCCTAGAGAAAGACATGTGAGGTCTGTCTCTCCGCCGACTGGATTGGGCAGAGACTGAGGCAGTGCCACCTGGGGCCATTACAAATCTGAGTGTACACCACCCCTGAGGAGTCACGACTCTACAAGCCAGTATCCTCAGGAACAGCGAGAAATGCTTGTGCCTGACATGACACGGAGGCCACGCTTCTCTCACTGGAGTCAGTGCACCTAATGCCATAGAAGGCTCAATGGCGACACTGGACCCAAGGTAATTTCTGCCCCCGAGCAAGGAGTATACACACGGAAACCTTTCTCACTGAGGGGGAAGCTTTCAAGGTGACCCCTCCAGTCCCACACGTGCCTCGGCTGACCCACTCACCGAGTCCTGAACATGAGGGCCGGGTCCATGTTTACTGAGGCCATGCGGCCCACGTGACGAATTTCCTTGGCAATCATCCTGAGCTTCTCAAAGTTGACCAGTCCATCTACTTTTGAGTCATTTCCTGCAATTTGGCACAGGAGAAAAAGGAAATCACATGGCACCTGGTGTCTGCTTCTGCTGGACACGCAGGTAGAAACCAGTGCCAATCTACCTTCGTGCAGGAAGGTGAGATCCTTCTTGATGATTGGGAACAGGGGGATGATGGGGGGCTGCAGGTTCTGACTGTTGAGGACATTGCGGTACTTGGCCATGTTTCTGGAAGGATCAAACAGGTCTTGGAGATCCTGAAACAGCTTTTCATATTTATTGGGAAGTTTTTCCCAGGTGGTCCGAAGTCTTGCCACTGGTGCCAGGTTCAGGCCACTGATGGGAAAAGGAAAGTGGATCAGTTAGACGAGGCCTCCTGAGGAACTGCATGGTCCTGTCCGTCGATGGGTAACAGAACCACACAAACATGGCTACACACAGCCATCTGCAGCGGGTGCCGGAGGAAGGTCCTGATGACTCAAGTGAGGCCAAGGCAGACAGAAGCAGGTTCAGGCGTGGTCGTGGCCCACTGGTCTCTCTGTTTCCTTGAGCTCAGATTTCCTTCAAGGCCCAGCCTGCAGAGCCACCTGAGGTTGGGAAGGAGCCTGCAAGAGGCAAGGCCTGGAGAGCAGGAGTTGGGTTCCAGGTAGGGGGTGGGACCCGCCTCGCCCTGTCTGCATCCCAGCCTTGAGGGGAACAGCCCTGCTCCACACAGGACTGCACAACAGTGCCTTGCCATGGCCCAACTGAGGACACAGGGACACCTGCAGAATCACTCTCCAAGCTGAGGGGCACAGGTGTTGCAACCACAGCAGAAAGATGACACAGTCAGCAAGAACACTGTGTAAGTACTGTTCTTTCTGCACAGACAGAGTGGTATTTAGCCATACAGGCAACTGACAAAATGACAGGGCAAACATTCCAGAGCATTAAAACTAAACAGAAGTCACAGCAGTCATTAGAGTATCACAAACTCTGGGGAGAGAAAGGGACTAATAATTTCCTCAACATCAACCTGACTCAGGGCTCCCATGTGCACTTTCTCCCGGGCTCAGTCCAAGCACTGATCAGGGAGCACAGTTTACATTCCCTGGGCATCTGCCTTGTGCTGCCTGATGGAAATTCACATGCATTATGTCATTTAATATTCTTGATAACTCTTTGCAGTGTTGTTATTTTATACGAAATAAACTGTTATCCAGAGGAGTTCAAATGGTTTTCCCAGAGTTTACAAAAGCAGAAGTGCTGGATACAGATTCACCACTCTCCCAACCAGCTCCTGGAGTCAGTAAATTAAGCATTAGCCACAGGAGAGAAGCACTTTGGCTTTGAGTCAGTGACAGCCCTGCAGGTGTGAGGGCCTAGGGTGGTCGGCTAGCAGCTGCAGGCTGCTGGGCCCTTCCGGGATGGAGTGACCATGGAGGGGACACCTTTCCAGCGGAAGCAGGACCTGCGAGAGCTGGTAACCAACCGCCGTGCTCACCTGATGATGGTGAACATGGAGTTGAAGTTCTTGCACTCCCTGCAGTGCAGCGCTATCTTGATGAAATGCTTAATGATCTTCATCCTCTTCAGTTGGTTTGTCTCCCTGAGAATCTCTGAGGCCACCCAGAAGGTCTCCTGGTTGATGACCTCCTCGAACATCTTTAGGTTGGCACAGCTGGTTTTGGACCTCAGCTTGAACAGGTCATCGATGTACTCGGTGGGCTCGATGTTCCGGAAGAGCTCGAAGTTGCGCATGGAGAGCTGCTTGGAGACTTCAGTGGGGCTGAGCTGCAGCAGGGAAATCTGGCTCTTGCGTAGCAGCTCCTGCGCGTCCTTGTCTGAGCACAGCATCTTTGTCTCCATGTTGTTTTTCAAGTAGTACCTGTTTTTGAAGAAACAGGCGTCTGGGAGAAAGCCCATGCCACAGCACCGCAACACCCCCACCCTTAAGCAAGATTCAGAGAGGCTGAGATTGAATAGCAGCACAATTCTTTTCCACCAGGCCAGGGGGTGCTACCCTGCTGACCAGATCCCAAGGAACCCACAGAGAATTTGGGGGTGGGGTGAGGTGAGCAAAGTTCATAGATTTTTGTACCATTTATAACTATTCTCCTTTTCAAATTATTTTACCCTGTCTGTTAAAGATGACAAAAGCTAGTTTAATGAAGCACATAGCCTCAAGGAAGGACGCAGAAGGCCACACAGAGCCATCAGTGAGGGGAAGAACAGTGCTCCATCCAAACCAGGATGTTTCAGACTCAAACAGCCAGTAACCCACAACGGTTTCCCTTCGGTTGGGTCCTGCACATGAAACAATCCTGAAACAGATTTTAGCTATTTGGTGCCAGAGATCAAACTCATGACCTCACCCTTGCCAGGAAGGTGCTTACACCGCTGAGCTAAATCCCTAGCTCCTGAAACATTTTAATGCTTAAATACATGGAACTTCATAAGACGTGCCCAGGACAGTGGGGCAAGAACAACCCCTATGTGTCAGGTAGAGAACAGGACCCTAGAGCAGCCCAGAGCTCAGTGCTGGGCCATCTATTGTTTTTTTTTTAAAGCAACCTGTTAAAAACTATACTCGAATGTTTGCTCTTGGATTTATTTTCTTGCCTTCTCTCTTTAGAGAAAGCAGCCTCTTTCTCTCTGAGTGAACAGCCCTTGTGAGAAGACTGAAGGTGCACACAGAGGCCCCACTGCACAGTGCTTTTTCACATGCTCCAAAACTTCTAAGACACAACCCGCATGGCTCTGCCCTCAGCACTCCCGGCCAGCGTACTGCCCACTCTGATCACTCGCAGGGCCCAGGACAAGGGCTCACCCATCCTTTTCCTGCATGGTGAATGTGACCACGAATCTCAGAAAAGCATCACGATTACGGAGTTCAAATGAGAACCAAGCGAAGCTAACTTCTCAAAATGTAACTGCCTGCTAGTGCTAGGCTTGCAAATACAGGAGTGAGCCCCACAGTTACAGCTGACAGCAAGCAAACACGGCCTGAATGAATTAAATCACCATTTAGATCGATTTCATGGAAAAATCATGTGCAGTGGACCACTCTGTAAAATGAGACAATTCTTAGAAAGTTATTTATACAACTAATTAATTTGCATTTAGCGCAAAATCTAGTCATTACCTGTTAGCCAACACTTTAAAGTTTTTTCATCTTGCAATTATTTGTGGATTATTGGCAAATCCCTGTCAATAGGAGGTCACTATGTGATGACAGGATCAGCACAGTGACACAAAAGTGCTCAGGAGCCTGCCTCCCAGGGCCAGCTAGGCAGCTGCTCCAGCTGGGTTCCTGGGTCAGGCAGCCCATCCCACAGCGCCCCCTACCCTGCGAGTCACACAGTCCTCCCTACATCTCTGCCTGCCCTGGCCTTGTGCAGCTCCTGAGGTCTGAACAAGTGAGCACGTGGGCGCGCAAGCATGTGCGTGCACACACACACACACACACACACACACACACACACACACCCAAGGCTTCCTTGGCACTCCACACCAGCTCAGTTCACATGCTGTCAGCCAGGAACTCGATGGGCAAAGCTAGGAAGCCAGTGCCTGTGTGCTGGCCATCAACAGCAGCCCTCAGGTCACACTGGTAAGAGGTAGGCAGTCTATGTGCACATTGACCCGGGAACCACAGTGTGTGCGTGTGCGTGTGTGTGTGTCCTAAATTATAATCTCCAGGGGCTCTCAGTCATTTAAACCCCTCCAAAGTGCTGCAGGTAGACAGTGTGTACCTTCCACTCAGCTGTATTCTGTCAGCAAGTTTGCAGAGCTGGTCTGGAAGGCACCTTTGTTTGATGACACCCTCCAGGGTGACGGAGACCTCACACAGCGAGTACTGATCCGGGGTGGCAGTGATGGCAAACTCCCTGATGGCCTGGATGACCACTTCCTTCGCCGTGGTGTCCTTACTGATCATGATATATCGGCTCTGCTGATCAGCCTTAAAAACCCTCAGCACTTGATCTGGAAAGTCTGGAGGAAAGATAAACCAGTGCAGAAGTGTGTGCAGAGCAGGAGACACACTGCAATGAGGTGACGTGATCTGAGGAGGAGATGCTCCCTAAGAAGGGGAGGGTGGCTGCCCCCCTTCCCCATGCTCAAGATCTGTGCAGATTCAACCCCATACTGTACTGCAGACTACCCCTCTGCCTCACAGAATGCTATAACAACCTGCGGACAGATATAAATGGCCCAAGCACAGGATGACCACACGCTTGTCTAATCATGGGGCATCACCGATATGTTACAGACAGCAGGAAGCACTGTGCGCTCACCAGGAGTGGCACAGAAGTCCAGGATGCTATGATGTGACTGCAGCAGGTCGGGTTTGCTGGAGGACAAGGTCTCGCTGACAGGTAGAGAGGCTGGGATGTGGTTTGTCTGCTGCAGCCCCACAGTGCTGTGGTCCTGGGGCTGACAGATCCCAATATCCCTGCTGGGAGAAAAGGCAGAGGACAGCATGGTTGGCACGTTACAGTGTTACAAGTCAGGTTCATCAAGCTCTGGATGAATGTAAAAATGTCAGTAATAACTATCGTAGTGTATCTAGTTCGCTCTGCTGTTTCCTGAGTGTACCCTATGCTTCTCTAATGCCTGTCTTTTTCACTAGATAAGCTGCAAGCATTTTAAGTAATTTCTCAGTATAAAAATACTTTCAAAGAAATATGACCTTCAGTTTCTGATGGCAATGGATTTAAGGGAAAAAACACATTATGAAGAATATAGTCAGCCTCATTTATCCAGTGCTTTTACTGGCTGACAGGCTGAACCTTAAAAACTGAAGTTGAGGAAAATAAGAAGAAGGGGGGAAATCCAAACTGCTTAATTTCACTTACCAAAGTTTGGGGGAAATGAGATCACTATGGAGTTAAATGTAAAGAAGCCCTGACATGGACATTATTTCTTAATCAGAGGACATAAAAGACCCAAGACACAAGGTGACATTTCCTAGTACCAAAGGAAAGGAATCCAATGGAAATGCAGTGACTCATTTTTAATTCTCTGTTCAAAATTTCTAGTTATACATTTTAGTTCCCAGAAAAATATTGAGAACTAAATGGCTACAAATGTATTTCCATTTATAAAAAGTGCTGCTGTAGGTAACGCTTGAAATATGATTTAATGATATATAAAATTATTTCTAAATTAAAGGGTCAAGTATTTCCACAACAAAACATCAAGTAAAATACTGTACCTGAAAATAACTAGGTTATAACAAATGGTTGTACTTTTAACTAGTTTCTGTAACTTCTTAGAAATAAAATTGGTAACATCACACTAAGACTACTACGTAACTAAGCCAGTAAATAAGATCATGTGAAGAACAGAAAAAAAGGGGAGAATTGTTTGATAGAGAAAACATAGAATATGTGAAGCAGGTTCAAAGAGATTACCAGGAAACTAAAAACTCTATTGAAAGCTGGCATAACAGTTTGAAAGAAACTAAGGATAGATTATCAGAACTGGCGGACAGATTTGTAAGGTGGGAGCATGAAATAAAAAACTTCTTAAAAATAACAAGAAAATAAACAGCAATAATACAAAGACTAGAAGATGATAAGAGGATATATAACTTAAGAATTAAGAACATAAAAGAAGAAGTAGGGACTCAAACAAATGAACTACAAAAGCTATTCACAGAAATAATCCAGGAGAATTCCCCTAATTTAGCAAAAGGTAAAGATACTCAGATGTATGAGGCATACAGGACCCCAGCCACCTACAACCCAAACAGAGCTACACCCAGGCATATAATAATCAAAATTCCAGAAATCCAATATAAGAACAGAATATTAAAAGTCATAAAAGCAAGAAACAGATCACTTACAAGGGAACACCCATCAGAATTACAGCAGACTTCTCTGCACAAACCATCAAATCATGAAGAGCGTGGGGGGAAATAATTCAAGCTTTGAAAGATAATAACCTCCAGCCAAGACTGATATATCTTGCACAACTGTCCCTAGAAGCTGATGGAAAAACAAGGTGCTTCCAGGATAAAGAGGAACTAGGGGAATTTGCAATCATCAATTAAACACTACAGAGATTACTGCAGGATATTCTAAAAATGAAAAATACCAAGATTCCAGAAACAGTGGCAGAGCGGCCACAATGAATGGAACAGAAAGCGAAATGAAGAGGACAAACTGACAACTAATGACAGAAAAAGAGCTCAACAGAAATGAGGCAGAGAAGACTGGATGGTAGGAACAGCCATTTTGGAGAAAACAAGACATCATAATAGGTAGTGCTGATTTAATATCCTCTTGTTTTGAAGTCCCATCAAGCTTTTGTTCTTCTGTCTTCATCGATTTTAACATGTTGTATCTTATTGGATTTTATTTTATGTGACAATATAAACAAAAACTTTTATAGACAAGGAGATGATATAGAAATCGTTGTTCATTTTCGGTTAGTTGATTCTAAATACCCTGTAATACTGTCATCTTCTTGAACAGTTTTACATTGTCTTGATACGTTTGATGCTACATTATACGAAGTTATACCCAAAGATTTTAAGGGAAGAGACACTATGGTAACTACTATTATGCGGAGATTATCTTATGGTGAAACACTACTTTGCTTAAATGGCTATGTTTTGACCTGCGCTGTTTTGTTGTTATGCCCTCTTTTTTATCTCAATCTCCTTTTTATTATCTACTTTTTCATTTTTATCCTTTTAATTAAGGGAAAAATAAATAAAAAATAGCAGGATATATTATAGTAACCCACGTTGATTTCCTATTAACTTGATTTGAAACTCTGTATTGCTCTCACCATCTTGTTTTGACTGATTTTCCTCTATTCTGTTATGCTTGATAGTACAAAGTTTGAAAGTATAGGCAACAACTATGAAGACAATAAGATTCATTGTGATGCCCATTCTGGTTGACTATTATCTTCTTTTGAAGCCCTCTAATGTCTCCAATGTTTTGGTTTTATTGTCTTATTCTTTACTCTTTTGTTCAATTTTATTATACCTGATGATTTAGGCAATTATTCTTAAGATAGCAAGAGGCAGTATGGTAACCATTGTTGATCACCTTGTATTTTGTTTTTATATTATGTATTATGTCCATCCTTTTGATTTGACTGACTCTGTCCTGGTATGTCACATTTGGTTTTACTTTCTTCAAAAAAAAAAAAAAGTAATAAGAACTGTGGGAGTAATAAAACCCAAAATGCCTAATTGTCATTGTACAAAAGAAAGGAAAAGAAAGTGCTCTAAAAGATATATATTTAAGTGTATAAGATAGATAACCATATTACTGAGTTTTGTTGGATCATTGAACAAAACTGTTTGCAGTCTCACTGTTGAAAGTCCCCTCTATATGCTTTAATTTTGTAACTTCAACAACTATTTCTAAGATGACAATATGTAACTATTGATTTCCTACTGTTATTTTTTCTGAAAGTCTGTATAACTTGTACCCTTTTTCTGCTTTTGTTTTGTTTGTTTTGTTTTTTCTCCTTAAATAAAATGTAAAAAAAAAGACAAAAAAAATAAGATCATGTGAGAGTAAGGTGAGCTCAGAAAAATGTTACATTTCTATTAAAATTCACACAGGTAAGTACTGAAAAACGAAAAGTATGATCATTTTGCTGAAGATAAAAAGGTAGAATTTTCAAGCAGAATTTTGTTTTATAATCATGTTTTACAATCCTGTGTCTGCCAATACCACACAGAGTCCACGGCATGTGATCCACAGCAAGCGATCACTACGGGCTGGGCCACTCCTGCCCCAATGGCCAAGAAGCCAAGCACACTGCATTCCAGGGGTTGCTCGGCGACACTCCAAGGCTCCTCAGGTGATGATCTGACTGAACTCTGTCACGCTGTCCTGATTCCTGGACTGACATGACCTTGCACCAAGACATAAATCAGAACCACCCTGAGTGAGCACAGCCAATCACGGCTGGACCTTGCCAAGTCTCCCGATGCTGCTCCGCCTTTGCTGACTGACTTCTGCCTTCCCCTGGGCACACCAGGCTTTCTCCTCCTACCAGCAACCAAACTTGCGTAAGGCTTCTGTCCTACCCTTTCCTTCACCCTGTGCATATCACTCTACCACAGCTATCCAGCATCTTAGTGTCTCTAAGAGTTTAAGGGAAAAAACCTTAACAGTAGAACAAAACTTGAAAGTATCTGAAATGTATAGTTTAGTAGCTTTGTTAAAAAAACAAAATCTTTGCAAGCTAGAGGTGTGGCTCAGAAGGACGATACTTGCTTAGAATGCACCAGATCCAGGATTTCATCCCTAGCACAGTAAAAAAGAAAACAGCCAAGAAGACCTCCATGAACACATACTAATTTCTAGAAAAGTTCACTGATTTGCTTTAAATCAGTTTATTAGGTGAATAGGTACAATAGATGCAAATAGGTCCTCTATACCTTGAATTACTTTTTCCATTTCTATTACTTCATATACTTTTTCAAATAATTTTTGTAAGAAAATATCAGTATTTTAAAATCAAGCTAATTCCCTTTTTTCTCTTGTGAAGATTTTGAGTATCTTTCCAAAAAGACAGAACAAAATTAGACACAGCACCCCCATGTAGAGCTCCCGGTTGGGCCAACACCACGCCTGGAGAATCAGCACCCCAACCTGGGCATCACACGGATGCTTCCCAGGGTCACACTGATGTCTACCTCATCTATTCCAAGGATTGTATTTAAGTCATGGTCAAACACAGCTCTCAGATCTTTTGCTGCTGTTGTTATGTTGCTAGTAATTCTGCATTAATGCACTTTACTTTGTCATTCACTTAAATGTAAGTTTTTCATCCAGAGTCACGTGAAAAATTGATTCCTGTTTCCTATAAATGCCAGCTGTTCCAATCCACTGACTCCTGTCAACTTACTATGAGCATTTCCACAAGTGTCAATAAAGTCATCACTTTCATGCTTATCCTAAAACAGACATTTTCACTGAACCACCGGTTCAATGGCTGCCACAGGAGTTTGACACTCAGTTCATGGATAGTAAGCTTCAAATCTCTCTAATCTGTGGATGAAAATTTTATCTAAAATGAAATTTTCAAAGCAATAAGAAAGATGCTTAACGTAATCCTAAGTGTCTGTATAGTTCCTTGTTATAGTTCCTTGTTAGACACATTAAACTATCCAAGAAATAAATTAGTCCATGTTTTTCAATGTGCTACCCTCCCTAGCACTGTACTGTGATGACTACACCACGACTGAACATGGCATTCTGAGTTACTTCACATTCAGAAAATAACTTTATGGTCTTCAAAAAGGACTTCAATTTAGATCTAATTCACATTCAGACTGATGGTGCTTGAGTTTTGTACAATATTCCTGGACTCAAGAACTGATATGAAGAAATAAACAGGCAAAGGAACAAAGTTGACATGAAACAAAAACCGCATCAGTGTGGCTCTGTGTGGCCGCCAGAGCTCCAGGCACCAACACGGTCCCGTCTCTGAACCTTCCCAGACTCACTCCTTGACACAGGAGCTACGCCTGTGGTGCCCACTGTCCCTTTCCTCCCACACTTCTACTGACCCCGCTCGTCCATCCTGTCACTTCTGGGGCTGCTCACCGCTCCCAGACAAAACTTTGGATGCAGTGGGCCAAAGAACAGTCCAGGGACCCAAGGAAGCCTGTGCTCGGCTCCTCATGCCTTGGCAGGCCAGGACCCAGGAATGAGGACAGGGGGCCCAACCTCCAAGGAGGATGAGCAGCTCTGACGAGGACCCAGGAGGACTGGACAGGGAAGGGCAAATGTGAGTAAATGAAGCCAGCTGTACAAGGCTGCCTCCACAAGAGTCTGTCCAGGAAAGCCTGGGACACTCGTGGACAGAGTAGACACCAATGATGCCACTGCCTCTGCCCATCACTGTACACATCCCATGCAGCCAGTCACAGCAGACTTACTTGTATGGTCTCTGAGGTAAGACGCTGATCCGGGTCTTGTTGAGGATCTTCTTTAGCTTGCTCCTCCTTCCCACCGTGTTGGCTTGGCTCTTCTTGTTCACCTTCTCCAGGCCGATCACCTGCTCCACGTCCACGGCCAGGTCCAGGATGGAGCAGCAGCTGGCCTTCTTGATGTCTCTGATTTTAGGGAGGTGTGGGGCACCATTTCTCTTCTCTTCTGACAATCTTGGTAGTAGGTCTTTAAATACTGAAACAGACACAGAAGCATCACAGAACACCACTTACAAGAAACCTGAACACCCCTTGGCAACCACAGAACCTGGGAATACATGAGAAGTTCGGACTCCAGTTCCCAAAACTGACGCCAAGGACCTGCCTTGTTTGCTGCTTTAGCAGTGATTAAGAAAGTGATGCACTCCTTACAGGTGTATCGGTGTTTCCCAAGAGAATACAGATCTCACTTATTAATAAACAAAGAAATAAAAATAACTTTATGGTCTTCAAAAAGGACTTCAATTTAGATCTAATTAATTATGTAATAAAGCCTGTATTTATATTTTATTAGATTTTTATCCTGATTATGTTTTCAATTATAGAAATTACTACTTTCACAACTAAGATCTATATGTAAAAACACCCTCCACCTCAGAAAAAGAGAAAATTCAAAGTATGCGAAAAATACTTACCAAATAAATTTGTTTTCACAGTGATAGACAGATGTGTATTATTTCTAAGAATTTCCATGGCTTTTGACAGCTGGATATTTTCAAAGTTTTGACCATTTACTTCTAATATCTAAAAGTGAAATTTAAAATTAACATCAGTGTCATTACTCTGGAGGAAAAAAATGATACTAAAATTCACCCTCAACTCGGGGTCAGAGCCAGCGCACCTGATCGCCACGCTTCAAGCCGGCCTCGGCCGCTTTGCTGCCGGGGTCCACGCTGTCCACGAAGATCCCAAAGCCCTTCTCAGAGCCACCGAGCAAGAGGAAGGGCAGCGGGGCCTCTCGGCACGGCTTGGTCAGAGTCATCAGCCTTCGTTTGGCTTTCGCAGCACAGGCCAGGTTCAACAGCTTGAGGTGGCCACCCATTTTCTGCAAGAGCCCAGAAAGGTGCTATCAATTCAGAGACAGGAGCTTGAAAGAAACCCAGAGCTGGTACTTTAAAAAAAATCCAGTATTACCTCTCTTTCCATGTTATTTTCAAACTCTTCTAGAAATCCAGTCATTGCAGGGTCTCCTTCAAAGTCAGTGAAGTGATTGTTCACCCACAGCAGGAATACCCGTGTCACCTGAAAGGCAGTTCTGGTAAGTCACCTTGTTTTAGTGCCAAGACTGAAATCACATCACGAAAGGTACTTAAATTTCAAACAATTTACTTTATACTGCACAAACTACAAATTTCAACAGACATACTACTCATAAAAAATGACTGTCTGAAAATACACGTACTAGAAATGCAGCTTCATTGGGCTAGGCCTGTGGAGGATTTAACTAAACATCTTGCTTTGCTTTTGCTTTTTGGTACCAGGGATTCAACTCATGACTTGCACTTGCCAGGCGAGTGCCATCTTGCTTTACTTTCAAAGCATGCTCAAAAGAAGTCAGAATGAAAGCAAAAGTACAACAAAACCAAAATAGCTTAAAACAACAGAAGAGAGAAACTAAAAGCTCAGGGTGAGAGGACAAAGTAGGTAAGGAGGTGAGCAGTGTTAGCCTAGAAAGATCCAAGAGGAAGGAAGGTGTTAAGACAGCCCTGTGTGGCTGGCTCCCCGAGGCTAGCCTCGGCCGAGCCCCACGCCAACGGGGAATCTGTGTGGAACGTCCCTGCATGGACAGGGCCAGCCGTAACGGACAGCAGTTCCCAGGTCCACCGAAGCAAGGTGACTGTGTGCACTCTCTCCCAGAACAGCAGGGTTCATGGATTGAGATATTAGGCTAGTTTATGTTCTAACACATTTCCAGTATGAGTAAGTTTAAACATTTGGTGACCGATTTATTGGTGTTCGCATTTAAAGAGAAACAATCTACTTCCAAATTTGGACCTAAACATGTATAACAAGAAACGTTAATCTCCATTGTTTTGATGAAGTTTGCTGATATTCTACTAAATAGCCAAATCTGCAAGCTCACATTACAGTATTCCCCATGGAAGAGCCAGAAAGAACGCATTTCCAACCTTATCCCTGAGGGTCGGGTCGTTAAACCACTCCAGCAACTTCTTGCCCACTTCCATTGGGCTAGACAGGAATGTCCGGTAGGTCAGCAGGAAGTCCTCTATGAAGGTTGGATCCACCACCGAGTGCTCCTCCACCAGATGCATCATCAGCCTCTCGGAGGTGCCCTGAGACAAGAAAGAGGCTTGGGCACCAGCTGGAATGGACACTGACATGGTCCTGCACGTCAAGCCTTCAATGTAGTGCAAGCCGGGCAGCAGCACCCATTCATAAGCTGGGACTCATCCAGAAGGGCAGAGATCTTCTCAGTACTACTCATCACCTGCAAGAAGCATCACCTCTCAAGGATGTGCTCCCGCCTCACCTTGATGACAATGTGGCCCTTCCTGGTTCCGGTCCGGTCAAGCTCTCGGTGCTCTGTTACCATGATGATCTCTCCCTCCTCTTCGACTTTCTGCATGTTCTTCTCCACTTGGTTGAGGATACGGCAATAATCTTGCTGCGCGATGCAGACAAACTGGGAGAAAACCAAAGGCACAAGCGAAGATGAAGTGCTTGCAAAACACCTGTCATGCTAATAATTCAGTATTTAAATGATTAAAACTGGCATTTCCCCCTGTCTGTCCCATAGTTTCTAAATTAATGCAGTAATGAACCTTAATCAGGCTTCCCTACTCATCATACATTTTCTTCATTACTCAAGAAAAGTTTAGTTTTTAGCATATGTATATTACATTCAAAGTGCCACCAACTAAAAAACCAGAAGGCAAGGTACAAGGTCTTTCCTCAAACTTCTTTCCCAGTGGGGTTTTCTGGGCCAACAGACAAAAAGAATTATCTTTTGGATTTCTTCTGAAGATTTTCTAAAAGTAACCATTTAAAAATAATGGTTTTCATGAAAGCCACAAATTCAGAGACACTGTATACACTGCTGGTCATAGGGATGAGAAGTCACAGGCAGCCACAGAATGGCCAGTCCCTTCCGCTGAGAACAGTGACCCAGCACTGCAGGGGGGTGGGGGGACCTCTGTGCCACACCTAGAACGCTTCCAGGCTCCGGGATGTCCCTTTCCTAATGGTTCTAAACAAGTTAAAAGTCAGCGTGGTGGGCGCTCTGGCGTCCTGGACAGAACATCGTCGCCCTCTCCGCATGGTTCTGTGAGCGCTAATAAACTGTCGGGACTCGCGGCTTTAGGATTCTAAAACGGACACTGGACCGGTGAGGCATGCGCCACTCATCTCGGCCCTGAAGGAGCACGAGGCAGGAGGATTGCAACCCGTCTCAAAAAATAAAAGGGCCTGGGAATGTAGCTCAGTGAGAAGCCCTGGGTACCAACCCCCATATGAAGGCAGGGAGGTCACACAGAAAGGGCCTGAACTGACCAGCGCTGGTCTGGTCTGTCAGAGCCCAGCAAGCCACTACCGCTGCTGCCTTAGGAAAAGCGCCCCTGCAGGCCGGGGTCCAGGATCGGATGGCACCCAGAACCTGGCGCAGGGGCTGGGCCTGCAGTCATGTGAGGGCCCGAAGCAGTCCCCTCTGCACCCCATTGTTTCAGCGTCCTAAACCCAAAGAGCTGTCTGGCCTGGCTGCAAGGGAGTCCGCTGCACAGCATAGGCCCTACCCCTACCCGGTAAAGCACAGCGTGCACTTTAAAACACAGCGCCGCACAGGGAAAATGCAGACATCACTCACTACACAACACAACTAGAGTTCAGTGAGGTGGTCAAAGCAGACACCTGAGCAAATAAAAACCAGACCATTTATGAAATGGTCTGCGAATGAACAGTAGATGGATTTCTTTTTTTTTTTTTTTTTCCTTTTTTAATGATGCCAGGAATCAAACTCTTGACCTGGTGCTCACCAGGCAGGCGCTTGTAACTTTGAGCTAATGAAAACTAAGCCAGTGGTCAGAGCTCCACTTTCCAGGCTCTGGTGTCCTCAAGCTGCTCTAGCAAGACATCCCATAAATGCCGGGGGTGCCCCACACTATCACCACCCGGGTGGCCTGAGCCACCCAGCGCCGCCCACACTGCCCTCTCCCCGCCCTCGCAATCACACACAGGCTACTTTCACACCGCGCACCGCGCCAGCTTCGTGGGGAAAAGGCCCCTCCGCGACTGCGCGCGCTCACCTGCAGCACGGGGAAGCCACACAGATACAGCGTTTCTGCGCGCAGTAAATGGCAGTAGTTACATCGACTTCCAAAAACATCAATTTCTTCAATATTGGGGAACAGAGAAAATGCTCAGATGAGAAGGGGAACAACCGAGAGGGGAGGGAGAAAGCAAAGAAGGGACGGGAAAAAGGATAGAAGGGAAAAATGGAAAGGTTTTATACATAAAGAAGGGAAGAGAGGTTGGAGGGCGGAAGGGGAATGGGAAGAAGCAGCGGCCTGACTCATCAGGTACAGGGCACGCTCCTTCCTGGGTGAATGCTACCATTATGTGCATCTAAAGTGCGCCAGTAAGATAAAGACATTTCTAAAATCCCGTTTCTGTAACACGGACCATCCAAGATTGTTCCCCAAATTTGAATATGAGATTTAGAAAAGTTTTATTTCCAAGTAATTTTAGGTTTTTTTTTTTTTTACAGTCAAGTTTTAGAGAACATAATTTAAATTTTCTCATTTATCGTCTAACAAAGAAATACAGTCCTGTGTTAAATAAATAAATTTGGGAAAGAAAATGCTTTTTCCAAGAGAGTGTCCAGTGAATTACTCTTCTTGACTAAAGACTGACATGAGATAGGATAAATTTGATTTGAAATTCTTAAGTGTCTACACATTTTGGCATTTTTTCAGGATCATACTAAAATGCTATGAGAAATCAGGAGGACCTCAAAGTCAAGGTATTTAAAAAGAAAGAAGGTTTTACTTGGAATTGTTTATCTTCTTATTAGGAACTTATTTTTATTTAAATGAAACTCATGAATAAAACCTACCTTGTGTGATAAAAGTTGAAAACTTATGAATTGTTTTAGAGGTTTTAAACTTTTGGGCAGATGTGAACATATGGGAATTACGTGTCATCTTAGCATCCTCACGGGAAATCAAAGTTCAGATTTACTTACAAAAAATCAACAGGCAGGCTGGAAAGCTATCTCAGTGGCAGACCACTACTTGGAATGCTGGGGCCCTGGGTTCAAACCCCAGCATGGCAAAAGAACAAACAAACAAACAAACAAACAAAAAACCCAGCATATGACATCATAATTTATCTTGAAGTTTAAAGTTGCAAGTGATATAAGAATGAAGCAAAATTAAACGTCGATCAACATGCTGCACAGATAACTGGCCTATTTGGCCAGGCTGCTTTCTCACCCAGACTCTTCACCTTCAGTGTCACATGCTCCCATGGCCCTGCAGCTCCGCAGCCATGAGTCTCGTGCAGGCTGACTGCAGGAGGTGGATCTGTCTAAACCGGAGCTGTGCCCACACCACTGAAGGGTGGGAGCAAGTCCCACACACAGGCCAGGAGTGAGGCAGAGGGGGGAGACCGCGAGGACGAAGGGAGACAGGGGCATAGGAGAAGGGAAGAGAAGAGGTGCCTGCATGGTGGTACTGCAGGGGTCTGCACCAGGCTCTGACTCTCGGTAAGAAGCAGCTGGAGACAAGGGACCACAGGACAGAGGAGGGACCAGGCAGCCTCGGGCTTCAAAGATCATCGTGGCTCTCCACTCACCACCTCACTCTCTGCTGTGCTGAGCTGGGCGCCACTCCTCTCACCAGCGAACACTTACCTTGGACCTGGTGGAACGTTAGGACACAGGGACGAACCCTAAGCAAAAGCTCTTTTTTTCTTGGAAAAGCTCTCACTGCTTTTGTTCGTTCCAACTGGTGACCACTGATAGCATGCAACATTCTGCAGAATGACAGGACACCAGTGGCCACTGTACGATGGCCCCACCTGCTACAAAGAGGCGGGACTGACGTGTGTTCCCTGCAGAGTAAGGAGAATTTAAGGAAGGACGCTAAGATGCCATGCGGAACACACATGGTAGCTATGGGGTGGCCATCACTGCTGTGGTTTTAGGGGGTGTGTGCCAGCAACCCCTGCATTAGCACGCTCTGATGATGGCATGGGGCAGAAGGCAGAGCTGGCTTCTCTAGCAGATAGCTCGCCTGGCCCCTTTCCACTTCACAGGAGGAGCCACAGCGCCCACTCACCTCCATGAGAGCCCTGCTTTGCGGGCTGTGTGTGTGTGTGTGTGTGTGTGTGTGTGTGTCTACCTTGCTACCACCATCTCCCAGCAATGCTTCCCACCACCAACAGACTAGACCTTGCCTAACCCCTGGCCTCCATCCTTCCTCCTCGCTTCTGGAGCCTTTAGGGAAACAGCCACCCTTACCTGGTACAGCACACATGCCTGGGGCACTGTGACCCTTGTCACATAATACTTCTATTACTCATTCTGAAATACTTGTGCGTCTCCTACCAATTCAGCCCCACGTCACAAAATTTCCAACAAGGCAGTCTGGCCCGTTCAGGAGCATTAATACACATGCTGAACTCCCAACCATGAAGCAGCCCTTTCCTGGCCACAGGGAGACTCTGCCTCAAATGTCACTGTAGCTGCAGCATGAAGAAGAAGGTTGGAAGGGGACAGGGCACAGGAGGAGGGAGAGAGCTTCATCTCCTGGCTTGCTCTGAGCCTGTTTGCTTCAAGGATTTTTCTGGACCACACAGATGCCACACAAAGATGCCAAATGCCACACAAAGATTCGGGGATTTAGAGATGATTCTATTTTGTCCCATTACTCTAAATAATTGAGAGGTGACAACATAGTATGATTTTTCTGGCATTATATATTTAAAACATTGAATTTAAAAGTACTTTGGGTCAGTACTATTTTCTTATAGCCTTGGTTATATTCATTTTATTAACTTTACATGCATGACATAAAGAATTTCAATAAGTGATGCCATTTTACATAGCTCAGACACTACAAAACTTCAGCTCTTTCTTTTAGAATAAATTATATTCAGACTACATTAATGAACAAAGAGTACAACATTAATTACTGTATGTCAAATTTTTAAAACAATTTATCTTTTAAAGACAAAAATTTTTAGAGGGTAGTACGTAAATTACAAATAGCAAAAATTTTGAATTTATTCATAATATATACATTAATCTAAATTTCATAGTTGGGACTAGGAGTATGGCCCAGTGAAGCAGCACTTGCCTAGCATGCACAAGACCCAGAGTTCCATCTTCAGAAATGATATAAATTAGTTAATTAAACTTTTATCTAGAAAATATAAAGAACTTTAAAAAAAAAAAAAACAGGCCACCCAAAATTCAAAGACCCAATCCAAAAACGAGCATCTGAGATGAATACACAGTTCTTAGGTAAAGAAATACAAAAGGCAAATAAATATATGAAAAAATGTTCAACATCATTGGTCATTAGAGAAATGTAAATTAAAACCACATTGAGATTCCATCTCACCCCAGAAAGAATGTCCAGGATCAAGAAAACCACCAACAACAAATGCTGGAGAGGCTGTGGGGAAAAAGGAACTCTCCTGCACTGTTGGTGGGAGTGTAGACTTGTGCAACCACTGTGGAAATCAGTTTGGAGGTTTCCTCAAAAAGCTGGGATTGGAAGTCCTGTTTGACCCAGCTATTCCACTTCTGGGCATATTCCAGAAGAAGTGAAAACACAGCCAGTCATGCATGTGCACCCATGTTTATAGCAGAACAATTTGTCATAGTCAAACCTTGGAAACAACCCAAATGCCCATCAACTGAGGAATGGATAAAAAAGATGTGTTATTTTTATACAATAAGAGTACTGCTCAGCTATAAAGAAGGATCACACTGAGGCTTTTATAGGTAAGTGAATGCAAGTTGAGACCGTATTCAGAAGTGAAATAAATCAAATTCACATGTGTTAATACCCTACTGTAAGAAACTGAAAGAGTAAATAAGATCCAAAATCTTCAATAAGTATTGTGAAAGGGTAAGAAACAGCTCAAAAGGGAAAAATAACTCAGGGAAAAGAAAATAGATATAAAATTGTAAATATACACTTAAGATAGTTAAGATGATGGTACTACTAATTCTATTAGTTCCTGGAGCAATACAGTTAACACTCATAGGATTAGATCAATTTTACATGTCCATATCTAGTAATCTGAGCAGCTCTTTTGAAAATAACTATGCAAAATAACCACTTTTGTTAAGTTCCTACCACCTTGATTTGAAAGCCTATATTGTTACTGTTTTGGGTTTTTTGTTATTGTAGTTTGTCTCTCCTGTTTCTTGCTTTTCTTGTATTTGTTTGTTTTTCCCTCTTTAAAATAAAACTTTAAAAATTAATTAATTTCCTATTTGGCCATGCATTTTCCTTTACTCTATTACTAAAGGTTTTTAAATAGTGAGTACTGATACAGTATCAATACTGATACTACTTCTCTTTGGTTGTTGTATTCTTATCAGCAATTATTTTTACTAGTATTTTTCATGAGCAATTATTTATTACTGATTCAGCCCACATCTCTTCAAAAATCCATTTATTTTTGTATGTATTTAAATAACATTGCAGAGTTGCACATCATCTTTACTAATTTATTTATAATTCTTTCTAGAATGTGTGTCTGGCATCCGTATTTTTGATGAACAGACCATTGATAGAGATTTTAAAATACCCTAAAACAGAATGCTTTTTTAAAAACAGAACACATAGTGCTGTTGACTTCAGCAAACTCAGATGGACATTTAGTTTTAGTATCCTCACATATCATAAGACGAAAAGTAATTGTTCTATGTTCAGACGTTATTTGCAAATCTAAAAGATGACGAATTAACACATACAGAAACCTCAGTCCACAACTGCACACGCATTTCCTTTATTTAGAGAAACATCGGCCTAGGCTCGTAGCCCAGCATCCAGCACAACTCTTGCTCAGCACCTGCAGGGCCCTGGCTCCACCCCGAGCACCCCACCAGCTGGCCAATCTGTCCCATGTGTACCGTTAATGATGTGTCATATCTGGCAGTCATCCACCTTCATTCTCATCCCTCATTTCTTGTACTCTTTGTACTCCAAAACTATTTCCCATGCACAGTATTTCTGCTTTTCCATTTGGCTAAGTCACTTCCACAGAACCACTGATAATCACAGACCAGGAGTCCAGCTGGTCAGAAGGAGTGGAAACAAAGAGGAAAAGAACACTGTGGTCACACAGCACTGAACGCCCTGAGTTCTAGCCCCAGCACTGCAAAACAAAAACCTTCTGAAAGCACTATCAGTGTACCATATGGAATGCGATACGTAATACAAAATAGAACAATAGGACCTGGAGTATTGTGACAAAATGTATCTCACAATTCTTGATGGATTATTATTATTGATTTTATTATTAATGTTTTTTCAAGGAAAAAGTAAGACTTGGATTTCCATCTGAGTGTTGTACCGAGAGGCCCTGTGAGCAGAGAAACGTTTACCAACCTCTTCACCATCATTAGCACGATGGTCCCTGCTCTCTCCACCACAGCACATACCATGACAACACAGAGCTTTCGCCGCACCGACATCGTCATGTTCACAAAGGCAGGCAGCTGGTGCATGAATTCCAGGAGTTGTTCTGAAAAGCAACACACACTCCATGTCAAAATGACAGCTTTTATTAAAAACAAGTCTTCAGAAAGAATGCTTTATGCTGGTGCGTGCCTGTAACCCCAACTTCCCAGAAGACTGAAGCAAGGGGATTCCAAGTTTGAGACCAACCTGGGCAACTTAGCAAAACCTTGGTAGCTCAAAATAAAAGAGGTTCAGGCTATGGCACAGCATTGGAAAAAACAGCAGCAACACACACTTTAAGTGCTTTAAAGTTCCATCTTTGCAAATGCTGTACAACCCATCTATTGATTCAGTGTAAGTTGAACGTCCAGCACGTTTACAGAGGCTGGTCGCCATGGTCACGGCCATCTCCGTTTGCTGATTCAGTAGCAACAGTTGACATCCCAAATTGTAAAGGCTGTGAAGAGATCACTAAACTTCAAATGGGGACTTCCAATTACACATGAGCTGTGATCTTGTTAATCACACACTAAGAGCTGGTTGAAATGAAATGAAACTCAGAGTTTTCCAGAAGGTCCATTCAGCAGGTCCATTCTTGAGTTTTCTAAGTAGGTAGACAACCAAATCATTTAGTAAAAACAACTGCTTTTAATGAAAAAACATTCCAGGGGAGATTTTCTGTGAGTCAGGGAAATTTATAAAAATTTGACATTTAAAAATTTACAACGCAACGTGAGAAATATAAACGAGAACGGATACAGCGATCCTTGTCCTGCAGACAGGCAAGTAGAGTCGGTTCCTCTTCCATAGGGGACGTCACACAGGAGCGTAGCTGTGGACCCAGCCAGCTGCTGACTCAAGGGCTCCGTGCCTCTCACTCTCAAGGATCTATACTCCCTGCCCACTGGCTCTCTGCCTCCCTCATCCCCAGCTCTATGGCATACGTGTTCCTCGTTTCCTAAGGAGGAAACCGGAGCCAGAAACACACAGGAGAGGACTCTGAGGCACATGCTGGGTTCTGCAGCAGGTGGTGAGGGCACGGGGCAGACCTAGGACCCCACTGCCACTTCTGGCACAGGATTAACCCCAGGCAGTTACCTCACTTGCAAGTAACAGCACATCTGCTTCACTGGATAGAAGTAAGAATCTAATACAGAACACAGCCCCGTCACAGTGGAATCCTCAATGCATGAGAACTGCGACCATCACTATGACAGCTGAAGCACCCACCTCTCAGCATGCAGCACAGTGCCCTTTCCTTGTCACCCACATAATGGAACTGTTCCCATGCACCTCCCTCTGGAGAAAACTGAGGATACACTGCTAAAGATAAGAAGCTATGTTCCTCAAAGATGCTACCCTTCCAGAAGGACGGAGTGATCGCCTTGGCCCAGCTGGGCATCCTCGAGTCCTCACTGCTCCCCTCCCACCTCCATGTCGCATCCCCAAGGTGGCTGTGGCCATAGGAAGTGCGATTCCATGAGCAGAACTCAGGAAGCCTGTCCGACAGGACCGGTTCTTTAGCCTCACCCAGATGTATGTATGTGTGAGGCAATCAGCACTTTTGCAACCAGCACTTTTTCAAAAAAAAGAAGAAAAAATTCAAAACATATCACTCTGAGAAAACAAATTCTGCTCAGTGCAACTTTTATTTCTGGAATAAGTAAGTATGTCTGTGTTCTGCTTCAACATAGATTTAGTCCTGGGGACAGCATTAAAACCACAGTGACAGTCACTGCAGGAAATGACCCATACCTATCATATAAAAGGTCAGACATGCCGGCCGCCCTCCCAAGAGGACCCCACACACAACACAGCTCCTCCCCCAGGAGCTGCTGAATTTTCCTTGGGGAACAAGATTCCTTGCTTTGAAGAAAACTCAAGACCAGAAATTAATCTTTTGCTCGGAACCCTCTGACACTAACAAATTTGGGTAACAGAAGTCAAGTCATTATCACACATCTGACTGGAGATGAAGTACTCGGAAAAGAAGGGACTCCACCAACATACCACCACCACGTCCCAGCACCTCCTGCAGACGTGGGCTTTGCTTTCTGATGGACTTCTCTTCTGCTGGGGGCCTCGGCAGTGGTGATCCTGGTGTCCCTCACTGTCCTGCACTCAGGGTGGAGCTCCGGGAATGTGCCATGGATGGCAGTGGTCGCTGTGCTCCCCACTGCAGTGCCTCTACCTCCAAGGTCTCTCCTTCGGTCCATGGCTGCCAAAGTGAGCCCCTTTCCCCGGGTCACCCCTGCCACACTGGTCTGTCTCAGAGGCACCAAAACATACTTCACCCCTTTAAGTGGTAGTGTGAGTGCCTGTACCAGGGAGGACAAGTGTGTGCAAGACAGGGTCGTGAAAGCAATCTGTGACATACGAGCAGTGACAGGCACTGGAGAAGCCAGGCAGGCAGAAAGATCTACGTGCAGTCAGCATAGCGAACGAGAGGGACAGGAAAGGTCCAGCAACAGCAGGTGCACACAGTGCTCCAGGCTCCGGTGAAAGGCCAGGAGGGCACAAAGGTTTAACCAGGCAGCAGCTGACAGGGTCTGAGAAGCAAGCCTTCAGCAACATCCAGCCACTGCGTCACGGTGACTTCTCCCCAACTTCGTTCCGCTGGGAGAGAGAGCACCTCAATGGAAGGATTCCCTGCAGCCCATCTCTGAAAACGCAGTCAGTGTAAACCAGAAGCACTCGGCTTACACTGACAGTGCCACAGGGGTCACAAAGCTAAGGGGACCAAGAAGGCTTTGGACAGAGCTCTGGACTGTACTTGGTCCGCCCTGAGGATGGAGGGAGATGCTGAGACAGGGAGAGGTGAGCGGCACTACCTTTCTATTTCATAACCAATTTACAGACATCAGAGGCCTATCTTGGTTTGAGTGATTCAATTTCCTATTAAAATTGTTTACTACAGAAACGCTCTAGTTTTTGGTGGCACATGAAGCCAGGAGAAAAGGAACTGCGAGATCAAAGTTCTCATCTACCTTAATATTTCAACCCTTCAAAACAATACATGTTACCGTCACTCGGTAAATGAGTCTACACAAAGTTCCTTCTTTTTTTTTATTTAAAGAGAAAAACAAAACTAAACAAAGCAAGACAGTAAAAGGCTAGAAGTAATACAGAATTTCAAGAGAAAAAATATACAGTAAGAGTTCACCAGTTAATAGATCACACATTGTCATCTTACAAACAGCTGTCCAGATTACAAAATTAAAGCATACAAAGTGGAGATTAATACAGTGAGATTGCAGTCAGTTCTGTTCAATGATCCAAGAAAAACTCAGCAATATGGTTCTCTATCCTACACATTTAAATAAACTTGCAGTTATATCCTTTAGATCACTTTCCTTCCTCTCTTTTTTACGCTAACAATCACACATTTTAGTTTCCATTACTTCCACAGTTTTTTTTAACTTTTTCTTTGAAGAGGAAAAGAAAAAAGATTTAAAAAAGGCAAAAAAAAAAAAAAACCAACAACAAAACAAAACAGGACAAACCAAAGAAAAACCCAATGTGACAAAGCAAAACAGAGTCAGTTAGATCAGGAGGATGGACATAGCATAAAATGAAAAAAAAAAAAAAAAAAAAAAAAAAAAAAAAAAAAAAAGGATTACTAGGTGATCAACAATGGTTACCATTATGCCTCTTGTTATCCTAAAAAAGAGTAGCCTATATCAGCTAGTGTAAAAGAATTGAACAAAACTGTACGTAAGACCAATAAAACCACATTGGAGAGCTTACAGGATTCCAAAGAAGATAATAGTCAAATAATAATGGGCATCATAGAATATCTGGTTGCCTTCCAAATGGTTGCCTATACCCTCAAACTTGATACTATTAAGGAAACAATATAATAAAATCAGTCAGAACAAGATGTGGAGAACACTACAGGGGTTCATATCAGGTTAATAGGGAAACAAAAAATTACTATAATCTATCGCACTATTTTTAATTTAGTTTTCCCTTAGTTAAAGAAATAAATTAATTTAAAAAAAAAGAAAAGAAAAAGGTGGGGAGACTGAGATAAAAAAGAACATATCAACAGAACAACACTGGTCAGAACCGAAAAATTTAACTATCGTGTTTCACCCCCAGATAGCTTAACATTAATAGTAGTTACCATAGTGGCTCTTTCCTTGAAATATTTGTGTCTAACTTTGTATACTATAGCATCAAATTTATCAAGACAGCATGAAACTGTTCAAGAGAATGAAATTATTGCAGGGTATTTAGAACCAGCTAGTAGAAACCAAACATCAATTTCTATATTATCTCTGTGTCTATAAAAAACTTGCTTATACTATTGCATACATTAAGATATAATAAGATACCACATGTTAGAACCAATGGAAACAAATGAACAACAACTTGATGGGGCTTCAAAACAGGATGATATTAAATCAGCGCTAGCTATTACGCTCTTATTTTCTTCAAAATAGTTATTTGTAGTATCACAGACAATAAAATAAAACCACCCATATTAAAACCATCCCAATTAATGAGTGAAAACATTATAGGGCTTCAAACCAGTGTGACTGGGAATCATGATTACCACGTACTTTCATGTATTCTTATACTTTCTTACACTAGGGAAACTATTCGGTATTTATACAGGTGAGTTCGATTTATTTCACTTACGAGTATGGTCTCGAGTGGGGTCCATTTATTTATAAATGTCTCAATGTGATCATTCTTTATAGCCGAGTAGTACTCCATTGTATAAAAATACCACAACTTTTTTATCCATTCCTCAGTTGATGGACACTTAGGTTGTTTCCAAGATCCGGCTATTACAAATTGTGGTGCTATAAACATGGGTGCACATATATCACTGTGGTATGATGCTTTCAGTTCTTCTGAGGATAGCTGGGGAATAGCTGGGTCAAATGGTGCTTCCAGTCTCAGCTTTCTGAGAAATCTCCAGATTGACCTCCACAATCGTTGCACCAGTCTACACTCCCACCAACAGTGCAGGAGAGTTCCTTTTTCCCCACAGCCTCTCCAGCATTTGTTGGTGGTGGTTTTCTTGATCTTGGCCATTCTTTCAGGAGTGAGATG